GCATTAGGTTCTTATTAGAGGCACTATTGAACTAGGGTGAGGCTTCTAGCTATAGGCGCTAACTTATACGGCGGTAGGTAATAGGTACGTTTATATCTTATTAAGTAGTTAATTAATTATGTTATTATCTATCTATCTACCTAGGCGAATAATAAAAGAAAAGACTACTAAGCTAAAGTAGTACCCTTGAACTGGCTAATCAGAGAGTGGTAACGTTTACCTATACAATATATAGCTAAAAGTTGACTAATCACCTTACTCGCTCGCTTTGTATCTCAGGTCCTCTCTAAACCTTTCCCATTATAATATTAACTCAATACTTTATATTAAGTCTAACCTTAGGCCTAGAAGAAGGGATAGATAGCCTTGTAAAACTCTCACTTCCCCTCCTTCTGCCATCTACTATTCGTCTGAGCGACCTATAATAACTATGGAAGACGCAAAGGCTACCCCACTGAGCAAGTCCCATTCCTAAGATAGCCTCCTCATCGTGTCCAGACCGCTGACAGCGTGTTCCTACCTCGCGAGGCCTTCGAAACCCTTTACCTCAAACCTGAAAGCGATGTCGCGGGTGACTTGAGGAAGAAGGCGAGGGAATCTTACTACTTTATGAGCGAGGCATAGTGAAGTAATAAGACACTGACGTTCTCTTTCAGTTTGGAGATCCGACGCTGGTGACTCTCGTTAGTTCTGTTGTGGCCGCGACCCCCTATGCTGCGGTAAAATATGGGCTGGAGAGGAGCAGGCTAAATGCTCTACACTACCCTACTTCAAGAGAACTATATATCATAGTCGCTGTTTCTGGAAGAGGGTCTTTGTCAGTAAGAGTGACCGAGAATTGCAAAGGATATTTTCAACACCGAAGGACCACTGGAATAGTTCAGACTCGCATCAGGGGACCTCCTACTCCTCCCGCTCCTGTGCTGATGCCGACACTGCCGAAATGAGCCGAGGCGCTGGCGCGGGGCAGCAAATTTGGGAGGTCCACTTTTCATAGATTCTGTCGACACCTGAAAACAAGGCAAAGATCATTAATGTGCATGACATGCGACGGCCATCGCTCTCCATTAGTAGATGACCGCTGGGTGGGTTGCTTCCAGGATGTCTTCCTCTCAACCCATCAAGATTCTCATAGCCAATCGATCCGAGATAGCATGCCGCCTCATCAGGACATACTCACTTTACTCAAGCATCCACACAGTAGCTCTATTCACTCCCTCTGAGAAGGATGCGACCCATGTGCGTCTTGCAACCTCATCAGTCGCGCTCAAAGGCGAAGGTCCCGGCGCATATCTAGACGCAGCAAATATTGTCAACATTGCGAAGAAAGAAGGATGCTGGGGCATCGCACCGGGCTATGGTTTCTTGTCCGAAGACGCTGGGTTTGTGAGACTATGCGAGGATAATTGCATTACCTTCATTGGACCGTCGAGCGAGCAGTTGGCGCACCTTGGGAACAAGATGACCGCGAGGTCATTGGCAGCAGATGCAGGTATACCAGTGCTAGATGGCACGAAGACCGTTCTTGATACCGGTTCTTCCATCTCGGATGTATTGGCGTTTGGAAAGAGACTGGGCCCAGCCAGCAAAATCATTCTGAAGGCCGCAGCTGGCGGCGGAGGGCGCGGCATCCGCATCATTGATGATAATACGGACGAGCAAGCCATTCGCTTGGCTTACGAAGCGTGTCAGCGAGAGGCACTTGCATCCTTCGGCAATGGAAGCTTGTTTGCGGAGCGATATCTACACGGTGCTAAACACATTGAAGTCCAGCTACTTGGAGACGGCACTGGAGGAGTTTGCCATTTCTGGGAAAGAGAATGCTCGCTTCAGCGCAGAAACCAGAAAGTCGTGGAGATTGCGCCTTCGCATTCCACTACGCCACGGCTCAGGCGAGCCATCATCGACGCTGCGGTGAAATTAGGAACAATGGTGAAGCTTCGAAGTCTTGCCACAATCGAGTTTCTTGTCGATACAGCAACCGGAGACTATTATTTTATGGAGGCGAATCCGAGGATACAAGTCGAGCATACCATCACCGAGCAGATCAATGGCGTCGATTTAGTGGACTTACAGCTCCAGGTTGCCTTGGGACGAACATTGGCAGACCTGAAAATCGCGCGGGAACCCCCGCCTCCTCGACTTACGTCCATACAGCTACGCATCAACACCGAAAGCTTCAGGCAAGATGGCACCACGCAACCTGAAGCGGGGACTATTCGACAGGGACATTTCCCCACAGGGGCAGGCGTGCGAGTCGAAACAGCTCTTGAAGGAGGCCGGCGGTATGCTGTGAGTCCTTTGTTCGACAGCCTTTTGGCAAAACTCATTGTCACCTCATCTTCGTATGAGTCTGCACTGCGGCTGGCTCGCTTGGCCATCGACGAGACAAAGATCGTTGGATGCAGAACGAATCAGGCGTTCCTGATGGCTTTGCTGGACATCCAAACGGTGCAAGAAGGCAAGAGCAATATTTTGACCATTCAGGAGAACTTTGAGGCGCTGTACAGCGCCACGCAGCAGTTCGAGGACGCGTTGCGGGCTAGGGGTGATTGCATTTCCGACGACAGTACCACACTGGTGGAGGATGCGGCTAAAGTTGAGCGACCTGCAGGCTCTGAAGAGCTGCTCGCACATCTCACGGGGGTTGTACTTTCCCTCAAAGTGAGTGAAGGCGACAGGATCACTGCTGGCCAAGAATTGGTCGTTCTTGCGGCGATGAAGATGGAACATTCTGTCCGGAGCGACTACAACGGTGTTGTGGCGAAAGTGGTCGTCACGCAAGGACAGCAAGTAAATGCTGGCGATGCTCTTCTTTTCATCAATTCCGATGGTGACGGTTCATCTACCAATACCCACGACCTAGCCGAGGCTGAGAACCCAGAAAATCTGCGACCGGAGCTGACAGAGCTCAACGAACGTAAGGCTTTCCTACGGTACGCTGGTCGCGAAGAGGACGTGGCCAAGCGCCATACAAACGGATACCTCACGGGCCGGGAAAATCTCGACTTACTCATAGACAAAGATTCATTCGTTGAATATGGAGACCTCGTGGTTGCGGCACAGAGGAAAAGGTACCCCCTGTCCCATCTCATCGCTCGAACAAGCGGAGATGGGATCATCGTGGGATGGGCGAAAATGGACTCTCATCCGGTCGCAGTTGTCATCGGCGACTACCTCGTGCTTGCCGGCACGCAAGGACATTTCCATCATCAGAAATTAGACCGCATCTTCCAGTCGATCATAGATCATCCTGCGCCACTGGTGCTGTACGCCGAAGGGGGCGGTGGAAGGCCAGGCGACACCGATCACTTGGGCATGGCGGGCCTAAAGACGCCATCATTCGCTCTGATGGGCGAGATCAAGGCAAGAGGGATACCTTCTGTTGCAGTAGTGAATGGATACTGCTTTGCGGGCAACGCTGCATTCTTGGGAACATGTGACATTGTCATAGCTACACGAGGCGGTTCAAAGGATGCGCCGCTGCGGAAGTCCACCACGATCGGGATGGGCGGCCAAGCAATGATAGAGGGAGGTGGCTTAGGCCGATTCGAGCATGAACATATTGGCCCCGTCGATGTCCATATGCGCTCGGGTGGCATTGATGTCCTCGTGGACACTGAGGTCGAAGCTGCGCCGCTTGTCCGCAAGATTGTTGCTCTGTTCACACATCCGCAGCTCCCACCAGCGGAGAGTCCTTACACATCGGATCCTCTTCGCCTGCGCACCGCGGTGCCGCCACTCTCATCTCGCCGCCGAGCTTACGATGTTCGTCGTGTGATCAACCTTCTGCTAGACGACGACAGCTTCATCGAACTCTGTCCCGAGTGGGGTCTCTCTGTGCTTACAGGGTTTGGCCGCATCAACGGCCACTCAGTCGCAATCATTGCTTCCAACTCCTCATCTCCATTAGGCGGCGCTATCGATGTCACATCCGGAGCAAAAGTCAACCGCCTTCTCCGTCTGCTCATCCGCCTCGGTGGCATGCATCTCCTCAGCCTCTGCGATACCCCTGGATTCATGGTCGGCCCAGACTTCGAGCGCTCGATTGAAGCTCAAGGCGCCGGAAGCACCTACCGCTGCTTCGGTGACTGGTTCGGCAACTCCCAGGAATTTGCCGTTCTCGGCGGTCGTGTCCTAGGAGTCGTACTGCGAAACGGTTTCGGACTAGGCGCACAAGCGATGCTCGGTGGTGGAAGCTTGAGGAATAGCATGTGCGTGGCATGGCCAAGTGCCGTGTTTGGGGGCATGGGGATCGAGGGTGCTGTGAGACTGGCGTACAGGAAAGAGCTAGAAGCTATCAGCGATCTCGAAAAGAGGCAGGAAAAGGAGCAGGAAATGATCGACGTCATGTATAGCGAAGGGAAGGCCCTCAACATGGCTATGGCGGCTGAAATCGACAGCGTAATTGATCCAGCTACGACGAGGAAATGGCTGGAGCAGATGATTGAGGTGTTACCGGAGAGAGTCCCAAGGTATGTTAGGGCAAAAAGACGTGCAAAGATATGAGAAAACAAAGTTCATCGGTGAAGTTGAAAGTTTGGTGTGATGGATATGTAGAGCCGTCCAGTAAATTTAGTACCTAGTAGATCTACACCAACTAGACAGACTGCGGGATCAGGGAGCACATAAGTAGATAAACCGTATGAACAACTTAATCCTTTGTCATCCTTTGAGTCCTGCAGCAGGGCGCAATATGGTAATTGGGACATACCATGGTTTTGGAGATATACACCTCTTTTTTCTTTTGGGGCTCTCTTAAGGATTCTGGAGCGGAGCATAGTCATTTCAGTACATCAGGGGGGGTCAAGGTACGGGTGTGTGACAATAACCCCAGCTTTCCGTCATGTAAAGCTCACAGTTAGGTTGTGTTGATGACTGATGGGTTGTGATAGATTGCCAACGGCTATCGTAGGGCGAGCCACCGTGATTATGTAGATATTTATCAGTGAAGACTGCGTAAATATACCTCATAAACATTCTTGTTTTTGATTGTTGGATCAATTTCCGAACGCACCAGGGCTCGCAATGGTCTGAGCTAGGTCAATCCTCCACAGCCTTGTCGATGCAAGAATGATTGCCGAATTGCCTGCCAGAGCTACCTGGGCGACACTGGTACCTTGCATCTTTTGACTCATCAACATGTGATGGTTGAAGAGCCCGATCACTTCTCCTTGGCCGTTTCTCACCACAATTCCCTCGCCTTCACCAGTCCACACACGGCCGTAGTCATCCACCTTGAGGCCGTCTGCGTACGTTCTCGCCAACCCGAACATACGTCTATTGATGGGAAATCCTCGGCTATCGAGATCGTATTCGAAGATTGCCATCGACCCAGGCATATTACTATGGCATAAATTAGTATTCCATATCGCAGAAAAGATCCGGCGATGTATACTTACTCGCTACCGATATCCAGTTGACCAGCAGGCAAGGAATCATACTCGCCAACGTAAAGTTTTGTCCCATTTGCATTGATCTGGACACCATTGCTTCCAACAATGTCAGAGCGAGGTATAACAGCAACAAGAGCACCAGTAGATGGCGTATATCGCCATATGGCACTGGGTAGTTGGTAGTCTGAATCTGGTCGATCAACAAGCCCGCCATAAAGGTTGTCGGTGAAGTAGATTTGGGTCGTGGCGAGACCGTTTCCGTCATGATTACTCGGTACGACGGTAATGTCATCAGGCCCGTTGAAGGGAAGACCAAACCATGAGTTGGCGAGGATTTCAGTCTCGTAGGTAACAGCATTGACCCGTGCGACGCCTGGTTGGACAGATACATTGCCAAAATAGACCAAGTAGACGTAACCTTCAAAGTAGTATGCTCCATTGGGGTTGACAAGATTTGTTTTCACTTGATGAACGGTGTTGTCGGTTAGATTCATGCGGTAAATCGTGGTTGGCTTGTCATCAAGAATACTACTTGTGAACCAGACCTGATTGCCTCTCCAGTCATATGTTGCCCCCTGCGCTCTGTGGTCAGAATCTACCCTTTACATGGTATCAAGGAGTTTCAACTAACCTCAAAAGCAAATGAGTCATTTCTCTCTTCGATCAGTACTGCCTCAGGGTTCGGTCCAAGCATATCTGTGAATTCCGAGCTATAGGAGATGAAGGTCGCATTCTGGGCTTCCTGTAGGAGATTCTCCAGCTTGTTGTTATCAGTTTTCGTGTTGATGAAGTAAGTTGACGCGTTACTGGTATAGTTTGGGGTTATCAAGTGGGTATAGTTTATGGGAACAGAGAGGGTGCCATTCAGTGTCAATGAGGTGGCTACACCCGCAGCTAAGCATTGAAGCAGGACGGCGAGATGCATCTTGGGCCGACGTAAGCACTTTAACTTGGCAAATGAACAAGCTCCAATGCTTGATGATATCTATATCAGAACCCAATCCTCCAAGTGTTCTTGGAGAGCAATATATACTCTCAAGGCCGCTCAAGATCCAGGCTTAACCTAGGTTTCTTGCTCGCTTTTCCCCGCCCTTGACGGCACGAGCCAGCCGTACAAGGGATTCAAGTTCTGATCGGGGTCTAATACCCTATAAAATTCAACCTTGTCGTCATTCACCGCCAGTTCCTGGCTTTGCGACGAAGTCTATGAAGCGGAAAATATTTCTTCAGATCGACTAAAAGCAATTTCCAACCCCGCATGCTACGCTCCCCAAGCACTGGACCGAAATTCCGAGGTGAAAGAAATCCTCGGACCATGAACATCCTCAAAAAACTTACAAAATGAGAGACCTTATTGCTGTAGTCCTCCTTCTTTTGCCTCGTTATTTGGAGATTCAATTGCGTTTGCCGCGGGTACGGTAACCCCACAAGATCTCAACTCCAACATTCAGCCTCGGGACCCTTTGATTGCTTATTAAGTTCCCAAAATCCTACTCCGTTTCGTCGCCCTTCCAATTGAATCAAGCCTATTGCCATAACCATGTCGTCACCACATTTTTCATGCAAGCATGTCGCCTGGGAAAGAGAAAATAGCCTCCAACCTTTTCTACGTAATGCCCAGAGGCAAAGGGACGAGCCCGCATCAGGAACTGGGGTCAATTGCACCCAGGCCGCTTTGTGTGCCGAGCATGAATATCGTACAAGTGTTCCGTATATGAGATCAAGAACTATATGATGATTGAGTGTCTTGAGCCGTGTCGCTGACTGGCCCCTGTGTTGATTTTCCGTATTTGATATCCTTCTGAACCTTGCTTATTCGCTGCTGGCAAGACATAGAGGTGTGGATCGCGTAGTCAATGGAGGGTTTATCCAACAGTGATTCTATATTATCTTGACTACGTGAAATCCCAGGTAGAGGAGAAGTCGAGGACCGCGGAGTATGACACAAACGTCGCTTCTTGACGAACAAGGTCACTCTTTCAAGTGCGTCTTTACCTTCACATAAACCCCAGTCTGCTTATTGAACCAGAAATCAGCTGTCCTCCACTCACTCTCACAGTCAACAAGCTCGAGTTCAAATTGCCGTAGAACCGAGGGAATCAGTTTGTGTATTTCACTGAGCGAGATCTATCGGCAATCGTCAGAAAGCAGCTGAGACATGTGGAGGCAAATTCATACATTCTTTCCAATACAAGTCCTTGTTCCGGCTCCGAAATTCAGCATATACCGGTCCATATTTTTGCCGTCGCCCTCAAGCCACCGGTCGGGAATGAACTCCTCGGGATTTTTTCCAAAGATGAGGGGGTCACGCTGAACCACGGCCGCGTTCATACCGACCCTATAGCCTTCTGGGATATGGTAACCACCTAGATCTAAGCCTCCTCGCGGTACAAGGCGGGGCATGGTTAGTCCGACACTCGGATGTAGTCTCATCCCCTCTTTGATGCACGCGCAGAGGAAAGGCAACTCAATGGCCTCAGCATACTTGACCGGCGAACTGATCTTGCCGTTGGCTACTGCATCGTCCAGTTCAGCTTGAAGCTTCTGATAGGCTTGTGGGGATTTGAACAGGAAGTAGAAGATGGCACGCATAGCAATGGCTGTGGTATCAGAGCCGGCAAACCTTTGATTGGAAAAATGTCAGCAAAGGTAGCGAGTCCTAATGGTGTAAAACTCCTTACAAGGCCACGTATGCTTCATACTCGACTTCGTGCACACCAAAATCAACTTCCTTAGCCTTATTTTGAGAAATTTCCAACAGTTGATGAAGGATATCTCGCCGGAGGCTAGGGTTACCGGACGAAATGCCTTCGAGTCTCTTAGCAACGCACTGTCTTGCTGCTGCTGCGATGTGGTCGATAGCTTTCAGAGCTTTCCTCACATTGGAACTAAACACCGACGAGGCGAGGATAAGTGGCCGAGTGTACGCTGGAGCAATGCCACTCAAGCAGATCACTGGCATCAGGGTGTCGAGAGAGGCAATGTATTTTCCGTAGTCGGAGGCCTTCTCCATAAATCCGAACATCCGTCCGAAATAGAGTTCACCAATGACGTCGAAAGCATACCTGAAAAAAGAGACATTAGAAGACTTTAGAATTAATCAAAACAGAAAAGCTTCTAGGGTCAGACTACTTACCATTGGAGCCATTCTCCCAGGTCAACCGATCTGCCGGACTTCGCAAAGCCATCCAATTGTTTCAAGAACTGTCTTGAACACACGTCAATGTACTCCTCAGACCGTAGCACATTCGAGAGGCTATATATATGGTTCACGATTCGCCTCCTCTTCGCATGAAGTTTCTCATCCGTGACACTGAAATGATCGGGATATTTTGAGAAAGATTGATTCCCCCATACCGAGTAGAAATCAGTCTTCGCCAGCGGGCTCTGCGTGCGATACAGTTTTTTGATGGCCTCCGGCTCTGAGCAGGAGCATTCGTTCGGAGCGATTCTGACCAGAGTTCCATACTTTTGATGAAGCCGCCGCTGTGTAAAGTCCATATCTCCGCGCCAGGTGTAAATAAGAATCCAGCACCTGCTGACAGAAGCTAACCAGGGGCCTGGGACGCTACTGAGAGGGTGGAAGAGTCGAGCATATGCAACCCACAATAGCCAATAAACGGCGACAATGGTGGGAAAGATGTACGAAATACTGTGCCAGGCCCAGTTGGTAATGCTGGTGTCGACCAACATCACGAAGAAAAGAATGTTCAGGAGAGTTGAAGCATCAAACGGTGTCAACAAAAGGAGGGTTATTTCTCCTCGAGTAAGTAGGGTGTACCAACAATCCTTAAATACCAGGGCCGGTATAATCTAACAAAATGAGAGCCTCCAAGCGGTTGAAACTTGAACGGCCATTACTTCCCCCACAATTCCGCACTCTTGGCTTCATTTGAGTTGGACCTAGTGCTAGCTGGGCAGATGAAGCCTCTCTCGTACTAGTAATTGTGCCTTGAACAAGCCCAATATCGTCAAGTAGATAACGACAAAGCTCAGGTACGACCTTGAGGGGATCAAATTGAAAACCATTTACCTGCTAGATTTTCATCTATTGCCAATACTTCTCGAAAAGATGCTCTCTAACATCCATTCCAGTACCAATTCTACTGCTCCGGGTTCCCCTATCTCTCACTATCTCTCGCTTTAGCTTCGTCCTGCTATTGCGAGCGTAATCTGGCACCTAGTTCTCACACAGCTCAGCAGCGCCACGAAATGTTTGCTAGACAGTAGCTCCGGCTATTTAGCCCCGTTTAATTTAGTAATCTCTGTATCATATCTGCTTGTTGCTTCTCTCACAGACAGCACAACAACGAGGTATCTCTCCCTGGTACGTCAATAGATTGAGGGAAGTAAATTGCTTCGTGTTGATCGAGTCGTCATGTGTACCAATGTCTGATCATTCGGGAGTTGGTATTATACGAAACCGTCTTATTGAGGGCGTAGGAAATATACTTCCCTCCGACTGAATTCTTTGGTATAAGTGTCCGAGAAGGTCCTACCCGTACTGATCTAGCTAAGATCTTCGCCAACCCTGCAATCGCATAACGTACATTGAGAACGTCACCATGAGGATAGATGCTAGACGGCTTATCCAAGTCGAGCTCACGATCCGCAAAGTCGGCGTTCATTTCCCAGAAAATTAGTAACCAATATTGAAAAGAAGCAATCGAAGAGACATACAATAGCAGCAAGAAAAGGCTTTGTTCATGACTTGATTGATTGATGACTAGTTTTTTGGTAGGCTATCGAATACCTCTCCCTTTTGCACCGCTTGACTCTTGTGTTTCAACTGGTGAACAACTCCGGTCACGCGGAAAAGCTTGCGGAAAGCTGGGGGCGGAGTTGTGGAGGTTGCATACTCCGTTGGAGGCTTGGAGCTAGCCAGATCCGGCCCTGATGATCATTTTCCGTCTACCAGGAAGGAAGAGAACCCGGGGTGTCTTGATCTCAATCTCTTCTCCCACGTGGCATGGAAATCAAACCTCGAGGAAGAGGCAATCTAATGGCCTGTTATGGTCGATCGGAGTTATAGTACACAAATTGATGAATCCGGCGCTCACTACAACACAGAATGACAGAAGCACGACGCGACAGCAAAGGTTCCTTCCTATTCTGCAGCAAGAACACCAGGATTCGTAGGTTATATCTGATAAATTGCGTGACTTCCAAGGTGTCATTGATAACCGTGAACAGCCGGCACCTCAGGAACTGGACGACTATCACCAGAGCCCGGGGGTGAGCACTAGAAAATTCGGACATACCTCACAGTCTTGACATGATAATAGCCGACAATTTGATGCTAGAAGCAAACACCCGACATAGTATTCATTTGCCGGCACATATAAGCAGAAATCTGTGCAGCTCCTCCATATCCGTCTCATCGTACCGGGCCAGGATCTTACTCTCAACACGAGATCTGGCGCTGCCCTGACCCGAAAGATTCTCGGCTGCCTCCAGGCCCTTTTGAGTAGATTCCATTCGTTCCAAGAAAACTCGACAAAGCAACCAGTACTCGGAGGCGTGGCGCCAGAACCCAGGTCTACGCCAATCTTCGCTGTGGCAAAGCTCGTGGTCCGTTCTTGTCACGATATTGAGCTCGTCCTGACTGCCACATGCTTCTGTTTCGGGCTCAATAGAAATGTCAAACGAAGCAATTGTGCCTTTATTTGACCGGTCGATAGCTAGACGGCGATTCCACACTGCTCGCCAGTTCTTAAGACCTCTTCGAACGGGACCTAGCCTCTGTTTAATGTCGTCAATGATTCCATTTCCCATGTTGAACATGAGGACATGCAACGCTGGATCAGACTAAGTCAGCAAGGCAAAGACCTAGAGCCTTGTCCGGATTTAGAAAATTATTGCAAGGGCTTACCAGACGTAACAGCAAAATAGTTCATATATGCTTCGTGGGCGTAAATATCGGTGAACGATGCGTCAATCTCATCTCGACAGAAAGCACGGATGAAGTCTAGCAACGACGAAGGGGTCTGTGCCTGTTTCCTCTGCGTTTTGCACAGCCACCATTGAATACCCAAGAAGCACTCCTCCGCAGAAGAGGCTTGGAAGCATCTTTCGGGGGAAGCCACATCCATCCTTAATTCTCCCAACACCATTCGCGGTGGGAAGTTGTTGAAGATCACAAAAGCAGTATCGATCATGTAAATCCAGATAAAGGTCCTGGTAAGGTGAGTTAAGAACTAAAATATAATGAAGGCCTTACCGGATCATCTCTTCCGTCTCAACAAAGCTTCGCCAGTCAAAATCAGCTTGCGATATGAAGCGGTAGTCCCGATGAGTAGCGCGAGATATTCCAACATCACGACAAACCTGTCAAAACTGAGCTAAACTTTTCTAATTTTAAGTCAATTCCTCGCATATATACTCACGCTGACGAGAGTCATAAAGCGCTGGCGCCTTATTCTCTTCTTACTCGCCTTTGTGCCGTTCCAATGCTGGTAGATACACATAATGCAAGCCGCTTGAAGTAGCTGGATTGTGTGTCTTTGATCGACCTTAAACGTCTCGGCTTCGATTTGTTCTAATTCTTCGAAGACGAATTTCTCAACAACATTTGCCCAAAACTTCGAGTTCGCGCGCTCCTGCGGCTCTTGCGAGTGGCATGCGCCCATGATAGCCATTGCTGCAATAAGGAAGCTCGGGGTGCGTAGAGGGTCGAACAGTGGTCTGTGAATTGTTGGCCAATTTGGATACCATCTTTCCCAGTATGTATCCAGGAATTTACGAAGCTGATGAGGTGAGAAGAAATTGGTGCATGACATCTCTGTCGAAGTTGAGCATTCGGATATGTTTGGGGAGTCGGTTTTGGGACTGTGAGCTGATCTTTCAATTGCCTGAACGATCTCAAAGGCCTTCATCGCTAGTGGGTCGTATTTCCAAGTTTGGGCACCGTCCAAGGAGACGGTAGAATCGAATGGAGGAAAGAGAAATTCTCCCTCGTGTAAAGGCCCTTCCAGAGAGTAGTGCTCAATGTCAAAGGACACAGGTTGCTCTACGTATTGCTCAGACGCAGTTAAGTCGCCAAGCTCAGAAAACATCAAGTTATCGAGATCAACATCAACGTAGTTCCACAACCCGGGTTCGCGGAACGCAAACGGGGAAGATCCTACCACTCTTCCATTCTCGAAGGAATGCGGCAGAGAAAGATCCTTCGTGAATTCCAGAAGGAAAGGAAACGATCGTGCTGGATCTGTATCTAAGTCGAATATGGGAAGCGGCGGATACGCCACAAGCGACATTTGCACTGGCGTGCCATCGTGTTCCGGAAGGCGTGTTTCACACTCGGGAGAGTTCTGCACGTCGGCATGAGGATTAAGGAAGCGATAGACGCAAGGAGCGTTGTTTTTAATACAGTTTCTGCAAGGTTGTGCATAGTCGCAGCGCCGTTTGTGGACGGCACATCGCCGGCAGGCTCGATGCCTTGGGACTGTTGGTCTTTTGGTGCCTGTTTTGAAACAGCCTTCGGAGTGTCGTTTCAGGACGTCACTGTGGCACGCGACAATGAGAACCGTTTGCTGAAGATGGGGCGATGGCAGTCCTCACCTTCGCTTGAAGCATTTCCCGCACTTCGAGCACTGGTATGGAAATGTGGAAGCATCTAAGATATCATCCCATCAGCTTCGAGTCTGCGAGACGTGCTACTCTGACAACAGCCAGAGAGTTTCACCAGGTCACATACGCGCCTGAAGGTGCCTCTGTAGGTGATCAGGGCGACTGTATGTTCTGTGACAAACAGGGCAGGTAGACGTCAAGTCAGAGGCCGACATATTCAGATTATTCGTAGGCTTTGTTGCGTGTGCCCTATGGCTGAAGCTGCATGGTAGGCCTGAACCCTCCTTTCGCGTGGTCAGGATTCCTCATTGTGACAGATCAGCCTCTCAGAGTAATATAATACAGATAGACGGATAAGTGTGGGTGTTAGTTTTTCGGATGTGGGATCTGTTCTTTACCCCGGGCTAATGGCATCAGTCTTCGAGCCGCAGCCCCCCCTGGGGTAATGGGGATGGGGGAACCTAGCCGAGGGCTGCCATTCGCTGAGCAAAACTACCGAGATCCACCCCCACAACTCCGCACAGGTTGCTCAGAAGCTCGTTTAACAAAGGAAAGTGGCATCTCATCGCCCTCCAGCTCCAGACCTGCCATTCTCTTGACGGCGGTCCACTCTTGTCTCGCATCCACTGACCAAAATGTATATCAAGGTGGGAGTCCCTGCGTCTCCGGACTTCTCTGTCGCCTTGGCCAGTATCTGGGTGTTTAAAGTAGTCAGCGTTTCAACATGGGTGAGACCGAAGTATCCCCACAAGAAAAGTGCAATGCTAAAGCTCCCTCAGCATCAGCCCAGCGACGACCAAACGAACTTGCGCCTGGCCGTGCAGGAGACCCTCTCGTTCTTCCACCAGGAATCAACTCCCAGACTTTCAAATCCTTCACAGCAAGACTCGTAGATATCGTTGGACAGGAAAACGTTACGATCATCTCAAAAGCTGAGGACCTTTCTCAAGAGAGCTACCTGGACCCTAGCAAAGCGCATGACATGTTTCACATACTGGACGCCGAGTACTTCGTCAGTTCGGCGGTCGTTGCGCCTAGAGATGTCCCAGACGTCCAAGCAATCATGCGTCTATGCAACGAATTCGAGATCCCAGTATGGCCATTTTCCATCGGTCGAAATGTTGGTTATGGTGGCGCAGCACCCAGAGTCCCTGGAAGCATCGGCATGGACCTTGGGCAACACATGAATAAAATCTTGACGGTAGACGTGGAGGGCGCATACGCACTGGTGGAGCCGGGAGTTAGATTTTCTGACCTTCACGACTACTTGGTGGATAACAATCTGAGAGACAAACTCTGGATTGATGTCCCTGACCTTGGTGGTGGATCGGTCCTTGGTAATACTTGCGAGCGTGGAGTGGGATATACTCCATATGGGGATCATTACAGTAAGATTACGGGCTTGACGGGTTCGACTTTATCGTGCTTGTTGCTGACTATTCCTCCAAGTGATGCACTGTGGGATGGAGGTGGTCCTGCCAGATGGGAGTCTTGTTCGCACTGGAATGGGCGCGCTACCAAATCCTGGTGCAGATTCTTCCCTAGGCCCTCATGCACAGCCCGGTAACGATTGCTGGCAGCTTTTCAATTATGGTTTCGGGTATGCTGGCATTTCCCCAGCTGCGCTCCTCGACTCGATGGGATCCTTTGTGTTGACTTACTCTATAGTCCATACAATGACGGGATCTTTACCCAATCGGCTCTTGGTATCGTCGTAAAGTAAGTCGAGCTCGGACCAAAATCGTTGCAGCGGCCCTTCCTACCAAATTGACCAGACATCGACACTGACCACGTGGCATTTCCAACGGAATAGGATGGGTATCTGGCTTATGACCAATCCTGGAGGATATCAAAGCTACCTGATTACCATCCCACGGGATGAAGACTTGCACCAAGCGATAGAGATAATCCGACCTTTGAGGGTCGGCATGGTTCTGCAAAATGTTCCCACTCTTCGTCACGTCCTCCTGGATGCTGCTGTAATGGGCGACAAGCAAACGTTCACTAACTCGAAGAAGCCCTTGACTGACGCTGAAATTGACAAAATTGCCCGGAGGCTGAAGCTCGGGCGATGGAATTTCTACGGCGCTTTGTACGGCCCAGCACCGGTAAGAGAAGCCATGTGGCAGGTTGTCAAGGCCTCCTTTGGACAAATTCCTGGGGCAAAGTTCTACTTCCCCGAAGACATGCCAGAAAACAAGGTTCTTCAAATCCGAGACGGCACACTGCAAGGCATCCCTTCGCTAGACGAGCTCAAATGGGTCGACTGGCTACCGAATGGAGCCCATCTCTTCTTTTCCCCCATTGCAAGGGTTTCTGGCGCTGATGCCACAGCACAATACCAACTCACACGCCGCCGAAGCGAGGAATTCGGCTTCGACTTTATTGGCACTTTCGTCGTCGGGATGCGAGAAATGCACCACATAGTCTGTATTGTTTTTGACCGAAAAGATGAAGATTCAAAACGCCGAGCCCACAAATTAATCAGTACGTTGGTGGATGATGCTGCGGAGCGCGGTTGGGGTGAATACCGCACACATCTTGCGTTGATGGATCAAGTTGCCGCAACGTACAGCTTCAATGGAAATGCTTTGATGAGGCTGAATGAGACGATTAAGAATGCATTGGACCCAAAAGGAGTTCTAGCTCCAGGAAAAAATGGAATCTGGCCACAGACATATGAAAAGTCGTCGTGGAGATTATCCCCCAAATAGCGAATGCCACCGAGGAAAACATCAAGTGTTTGGAAGATATGAGCATTCTGCCCCGTACTTTAAACATCCCCGGCTGTTCGTGTTCGTCAGACTAACATTTTAGATCGATTGAAGGCCACCGTAGTCGTGTCGAACTGGACGAGCAATCTCAGACTTCTGGAGGAGCAGATAAAAGGAACTAACTTATCCACAATATCTAAAGAATGAAGATATTTTCCCAAGTTCACTATGAATACTAAACACGGCCACGACCGCAATTTAGAAGCTCACCCGTCCCACCCTTATACCAGCGGCAAAGCTTGATCGACCTTTAGTTTTGGTAGCATTTTCAACTGATGCATCTCTTGGTACATCTCGAAGACACTTTCCATGGTATCCACAAATCCAGTCCACCCCAGTCTTCGAGCCTGTGAAAATTGTTAGTTGTCACCGGTATTTTGCGTCTGGGTTTTACTTGGGAAAGACTTACCTTGTTCATGCTTAAAGGTCCAAAGGTCATGAACACAGTGTCTGAAAATGTGAAGTTTCCTTCGACATCCTCAAAAGGATCAAACGTTAGGTGTTCCCTCTCGCGGATTGTTTCCCATGCCTTCTGATTCTCTGGGTCACGAGCCCAATCGAGGATTGTGAAGGACAGCTTTTCCACAATGGGAGGACCGTAACTGACGGACTCGATATTAGAAAGGCCGCCCCTATAAATCATGATTCATATGATTGACTCACCCCATTGGACAGTCTCTCCCACCGTTCAGCTTTAGCTCAAGTAGTCCAGACTCGTCGTTGGGCGGCGGCAGTACGCCCTTTTCCACTCCAAACCATCTCACGTATTCTGCAAAGATGCGATCCCAAGAGATGGGACTCGTGTCTTGGCTGTTGAAAGCCTGGTTCTTGCACTTGTCTTCCAGAATCGCCCATTCGCTGAGATATCCAGTCAATCGAGCAGTTCCGAAATGAGAGCAATTGGATTGCCAGAATGACCAAGAGCTCGGAAAGCGTAGGGGTAGGCCGCGCTCGGCGGTTACTGCAGCATACACTGCAAATGGATACATGGCACACATCTGGGCTGTCATGGCCGAGCCGATGATCCAGGGAGGTCGTATTACGTTCCATCCAACGCTGTACTTCTCACAGTACTCGAATAATAGATCTTCCTGAGCGTAGTAGAAGTTTGGCCCTAAGTGACGGGGCTGAGGGTCGGATTCCACATTCGGAGTTCGTGCGCGGCCAATATGAGGGCCGTAATTCTTCGCTCCTGTCTGGAGGAGAAATCGCTTTGGCTTGACACCAGCTTTCGGGAGCGCGTCGAGGAAGTTGCGAAGTAGTGCTGAGTTGACCTCAAGTAGTTCCTGCTGATTGGACCATGCCCGCGCGCCAGGAGGCGGTCGAGGTTGCAAGTAGGCATAGAAAAAGATGTAGTCCACTTGAACTTCAGCAGATTCCAGCAGCTTGGCAATAGCCTCAGGCTCTGCCTGCAAGTCACAAGAGATGTGTTGGATTCGGTTGTGGAGCTCCGCCGGAATAAGATTCATCATTTCAGCGGGAAGTGGACGTCTTGACAACGTAAACACTTTAGCCCATCGCTGTGGTGAGTCCAGGAGAGCCAGCAACGTGTTAAACCCGGAAATGCCATTTGCTCCAGTTATGAGGGCTGTAAGACCAGTCAGCTTAGGATCAAATTGGGGTAGGTTGTAGTATATGCCGCTATTGCGGCAGGGATAATCTATGGAACCCATAGTTGATTTTTGCTTGTATCAAGGAGAGCTCAGTATGAAGTGATTGTAGTTGTCTGAAGACTCCAGATACCTCCTTGTTATCTTTCTTTATAGCTGCTCTCGCATTTCAGCCTCGCTGGGTTGGCTCTAAGATGGAGGTGGGGGTGGGATGAAGCAACAAACCACGGCCCTCGGTAGGCATATCTGGGGAGTAGGAGCCAATGGCAGTAGCAAATAAGTACGGGGTACATTTCTATATCCGGTAGGTGTTTCCTTTATTGCTAAGCCGGGGGTGGGGGTGGCAGAAGCGGAGGGAAGTTCAAGGAGGAGAAATACTTGGCGGATTACTCAACATCCTTTCAGTAACGTCTGCTCCTCAACACTTGAGGACTTTTCACAAATCATCTCCTTTTTATCACCGATAACTACAGTTCTTACACTAAACAGGCTCACCAATGCAGTAACGCCTCGCTGTATCCAGCATTTTCTCACATTCACCCATAATATTGCTCGGCTGTCGCCTACGCCGAGGCAAAAGGTATGGCCAGAAATGGAGCCAACTCCTGCCCTATTTGCAGAAGACGGTACAGCCGCAAAGAGCACCTCACCCGGCATCTTATCACCCGTAGGTATTACCTATTTCTGTCACAAGACTACCTGTTCTGGGTTGTCTTGAGATTCTCTATTCCTGCAAGAGTTCGAAGTTGTTCTTTCTGATTGTGCGCAAGATACGAAGACAAGACCATTCGTTTGTAGCCACTGCCAATTGACTTTCAATCGGAAGTAAGTGATATCGCTCCGTTAGCTTGCTTTGTGCGGTCATCCCGGGGGGACCTGGCTCTGACCTACTCAATTTTCAACACAGGGATGTCCATACTCGACACCTCGCAATTTGCAAGGGGATTCCTCATTCCCCACGACAGTCGCAAGAGGAAAATATTTCGGAAACCCTATTGCAAAGGATCGAAGACAATGACATTGGGAGAGATTCCTACGACAGCGACACACCCAAGCAACAGCCTATTGTTTTCGCGTCAGACACTCGCTTCCTAAATTTCGAACAAGAATTATTCTTAGAATATACAGAAATAGCTATCCCCAACTCACTGGATCTCTTCTTTCGAGTCACAACAACAAACGGGCTGGCAGGATCATTCGACCCAGACCTGTTCCCGCGTGTTTCCAATGGCACAGACCTTGCCCATATGCATGACAACTGCGCGAAGGCTTATACAAGTAACTCGCCTCTAGGTCCATCTTGGTCGATACCAGATTTCGCAACAATATTTCGTTCCACAGATTGCATAGACGATGAATTGAACAACGGAGAGAGCAGCTTGAGTGATGAGAAACTGTCCGAAGTACCCTCTTGGGATGATTGTGGTATTGTGATGGATGCGGTTGAACGTCCTCAATTATTATCATCTCACGGTAACATCTACCTCGACTTGGGACTCTCGGCTGACTCGGAACTCACTGTTCATGCCCCCTTGGATACCGACCCTTTGTCCCCACTAACACACGAAATCGTGGGGAGATTGCGAGAAACTATTTCACACAAGCCACGAAATAGTTATATCACGTTACAGTGGAGCTACGAAGTTGAAAATCAATGCCTGGAATTTTTCTGCCCCGAAAACATACGTCGTTTCGTGGATCTTTACTGGCTTACTTGGTATATACATTGGCCAGTGATCCACAAGTCGACATTCCAGATATCCGAAACACCATGCACATTAATCGCCGCCATGGTTCTAATTGGGGCGAGCTATTCGACTATTCCGCACGATCGTGCCATTGCCAGGACCTATTGCGACGGTGTGGAAGAAATTGTATTTGGCGATGAGTATTTTGGTGATTCAACTGCATTTTCAGTCTTGAATGCTGCCTGCCTCGAAAGACGCCTTCGAAGTCTTCAAGCCGCACACGCTATGTGCCTTTTCCAGGCATGGGAAGGTGCTTATATTGCAAAACAACGAGCCAGAAGACACCGATTTGGCCTGGTGGTTGCGGTAGGTGTCCTTCACATTTCCAGAGGATCTTATTCACAAATCGCAGATGGCGAGGGAGTTGGGTTTCGCCCACGCCTCTCATGGAGACCTAGGTTCTCTAACGGAGTCCAATTTCAATTGGAAAGAGTTTATTCTGAAAGAGGAGCTTATCAGGTAGTGTGGCGTCCTTGCCAGCGGTCACAGCCAGACTAACCCGGACTACAGGACCTTGAACTATATGGTAGTCCTAGACTGCGGCTTCATCATCATGAATAACATGCCTCCAAGGGTATTTGTTTCGGAGTTGGAAGCCGATCTCGCATGCCCCGAAGCTTGTTTTCAAGCAACATCGGCTTCGGAGTGTTTCAGCTATTTGCAAGTCTGGCTATCACACCCCTCGGCCAGTGCCGGCCGGATATCAATTTTAGATGCAGTGGAACAGCTGGGTCGTAAGGACATGGATTGGGAAAAACTGCAGGTTTTCACTCACCTGGGCTATTTGAATCTCGGGTTCTTCGCCATGGGTAAGGTAATCATTCTCCATGTCTTTCAGCAAACTCACCTTCCCAACTTCACAGCTATCCATTCAATTATTTTCCAGATTCGATCTTCATTGTGCTGGCAAATCCAGTCAATACATATGGTTCGAAATTGGCTGCGAAATTGGAGAACAATCTGGACTCTCCAAGGGCTCAGCAACACAGCAGAGGCATTTGGTACGCCGCTTCCACCACGGGAAATACCAGACAATCCGGAGGACCGATGGCGAAATGCTGGGTTCATGAAAGATGCCGCCCAGTTTTGGCTCCTTGCTAAGATTCTACTTGACAACCTGGAGCGTAATGGGCACCCGTCTCCTGTGAATCCCTTTTTCAAGAAGAATGAGGACTATGATCAGGCCAGTATGAAGCATCTGAAAAGTCTTCTACGAAGTTTTCGGAGTCAATAAGATTGAACCCGCGACATGTCAGATGGTATGGGTTGAATAATTCTCTCAGTTTATCCATTAATCCTACGATGCTGCCTGAGCTCGAAATTCTAGATACTACCTTTGTATTGGTGATTGGAACATTTGCGGCAGTATAGACGGGGCATTCTGAGAGATTGTGAAAACAAGAAATCCTACCTGTTCTCAAGTAGCAGATCAGCTGAAACAACTGGTATAGCTCAAAATTGCCGCGAGCCTTCAAGCAAATAGATGTCTTGGTATCCCCCCAGCCACCAATAGCTGCTGAACGCAAAAGGGAGAAGTGTGTATGGTACTCGAGCTCCTGCCCTCTCGTTCTCAACCATCATATAGCTATCCTACCTAATATTTATAGCTCATACCTCAAACCACAGAGCTGATCCAGTGATTGACGAAATTAGACCTGGCAAAAGTATTGGGCACCTGTCTCACGTGAATTCCATTTCATGTACATCCACTGAAATGATGTTATCCCTGTCGCAGAAGATCTTTCAAAGCCTGCTTGGATTTCCATTCTCAACTTTCGCCATTTCCCTCAGTATGCGCTTCAGAGCTTTGCCTGTTGCATTCCGCGGGATAGCATCAATGAAAGAAACTCCCCCTGATAGCTCTTTGTACTTTGCCAATCTCTCTCTACAGAAAGATTTCACCATCTCTTCCGTCATTACGGTATTGTCAGATCCGGGTTTCCGCACTATATATGCCTTTGGCAGTTCCACATCAGCTTCGTCATGCTTCCTGATGCCAATCACAGCAGCATCCAATATCTCCGGATGTGAAAGCAAGACCCCCTCGATCTCGGCTGGCGCTACCTGGAATCCTCTCACTTTGATCAGTTCCTTCTTGCGATCGATGATATACCATTTCTTTGTTTTCGAGTCGCAATACATCACATCCCCAGTTTTGAAGTACCCTTCCTCGTCGATCGAGTCCTTTGTAGCGTGCGGACTATTGAAGTAGCCTGATATTATCGTTGGGCCTCGAATACATAGTTCTCCAGGAACATCAAAAGTTGTAATATCGTTTCCGTTGTCGTCTATGAGCCTGGCATCATAAGTTAGTCGGTGTGGCCATGATTGTCACAATCAAAGTCTTACTTGACATCCAAGTTCGGCATCATATGCCCAACACTGCCAGTGTCGTCCCGCTCGGGATAGTAGAACTTTGAAGCGACGCAGCTTGTCTCCGTCATACCCCACACCTGAGTGAAAGACGTCTCGGGCCCTAGAATCACTTGAAGCGCGTTTTGGTGTTCCTTGTCCAGTGGCCCTGCCCCACAGACGACCACTTTGATAGATTTGAGAGAATACTTGTGAAGAAGCGGATACTTCAAGACAGCAACAGCGACAGGTGGGACGAAGACCATCTCAGTAAGCTGATATTGCTGGATGGAAGCGAGGAATGGCTCCATCTCGAAACGCCGGAGAATGTAGCTCAAATCGCCTGATCGGAGAGGTGTGACATGGGCCACTGGAACCATTGCTGCATGAAACAGCGGCAGATATAGTAAGCGGCGCGGCTAAATCAATACAATATTAGTGTGTCTCTATACCCTTTCCGTAGTTTCATGATATCGAAAACGAACCTCGTATGGAGTCGGCTGTGTTTCATTGACCAGCGTATGTTGAGCGATCAGATTGTAATGGGACAGCGCTGCGGCTTTCGGCAATCCGGTAGTCCCACTGCTGAATAGTCTCGCTGCTGTCGTCCTCTTGGAGACTTGCTCGTCGTTGAAGCGAATCCAATCCCTCTGCCCGTGTTTGAGGAGCTCTCTCCAGGACGCGAATCCAGTTGGAATCGGCTCCTTTTGGCTATCGAAGGCCCAGATTCTGGATTGCGGTATATCGCATTCCTGTGCAGCAGATACTACAGCTTGCAACAAGTCAGGCTCGGCGATGACGAACATGGTGCGCGATGTCTTGAAGTGGTGAGCAAGTTCGAAATGGGTATAAGCTGGGTTGGTCCCCGCGAAGATTGCGCCCGCTGCAATGATACCTAGAAACAGCATAGGGTAGTAGATCTGGTCATTTCAGCCAGGGTCCAAGTTAAGTAACGAGCCTCGGTAGCAACAGACATTGTTGAAGCTGTGAACGCACACACAGTCCCCCGGCGTCACTCCAGCGGCATGGAAACCTGCAGCAAGCTTTCGGATCATCACCCGAGCTTGACTTGCAGAAATCGACCTTGACGGATCAATGGCATCAATATAGACCTGAAGGGTTCCATTGAGACTGAGGTCAGTGAAATCTGATTGCACGTTTCAGATGGCTTGCTCTTGGCTGAACACTCACAGGTTTTTCTTGGTCGAATTTGGGCTTGTCGAACATCCAAGACAGGATGTCTTGATTTGGGATCGCCACCTTTTCTTCAGCGAGAAAAGGCATCTTGAGTTCTCGCAAATGTTGTAGATGTTCTTGGATGTTGCAAATATGGTCAGATGTCCATTTATATCGGCTCGGGCACCATAAAAAAAAGCGCCCCAGCTCTCAACAATGTGTATAAGAGGTGTGCCTCGGACAATTTAGTATTGCCAGGCTCTCATGCACCCCAGATTTCGAAACAGAGAAGTTCTCCACCATTTTCCACAATGTACAGCCTCTGAGAATGTCTTGAACCTGATATCGGGGCAGGAGAGTTTACTTTTCACACGCAATTGGCTGCCGAGTAAAACTTAGGCCAGCCAAGCGTCATGTCAGGCTGCCCAATCCATTCGGCTACTAAAACAGGCCGAGGCTGCTTCGGCTTTTACCATTCTCGACCAAGCGACAAGCCCTAGCACCAAGCAGCGAGGTGTCTCGGAGTTCTGTAGCCTGATCCCGACGGTTGCGGGGTTAGGCACACCGGAAATCACCTGGTGTCGTTAGGAACTTGGCGACAGTGGCGAATCCCATTCCCCAGAGTTTGAGCATTCCAGGATCATCAGCAACATTCAGGAGGAACGACCTTGTGCCTGGATGTGGAATGGGACTATGCTCGACCCTTCGTCAGCTATACACCCTGCGCAGCTGAAGAGCGTGGGAGAATGACCGAGTCGAATAAACGGTGGTCATTCTCGAGGAGGGCCGGAAGGGCCTGCTTGAACTGCAGAGCACGCAAGGTTAAATGCAATGTTGAGGAGCAAGGTCCACCATGCAGCAATTGTCTCACCGACAGTGTGAGCTGCCATGTTCAGAAGAGTAGAAGGGGCCGGTACGATACAAATTCCCTCCTCGGGATGTTGTGTGGTAGCGGCAATTACTGAATACATTCTCTGCAGGAGGCCACAAAAGATCAAATCTACAAGCAACGTCCTAGCAACACCAGAGATTCAACGTCCATTCGGGGAGTCTGCCGACAACGTAACCACTGTTGTTGATTCTGGTTGTCGCATTCCGGATAGGAGACACACCGATCAATGGTTGACAGAGTTCGGAGCAAGTCATGAATACAATGCTGAGAGAACCTTCAATCAGCATCCGTCTTCCAGACCTCGTGAGTTGAGTATCAGCTTGCTATAGGCAACAAAAGCTGACAAGAGCGATAGAAACGATAATGCCATCGCTAACGGCTTCAAAAAGTTTTGAGTTGCTACACAATATGCATCACGAGCTGACGTATGCTTCGCTCATCGATTGTGTTTCCATGGCAAACGATGCTTCGAGCGCTCTGGATACCTCGAGCTCTGAGACGATGACCTCCATTTCAACTGTAGCAAACTACGACCGATTCCCGGGATTTGTGAAGCCACTTTCTCCACGGCTGACTTCGGATGATATCAACTATCTTTTCAGGAAAGGCGCCCTGGAAATTCCTCGAATGGAGTCTGTCGATGCGATTATTCAAAGCTATTTCCAGTATTTCCATTGGTTCATGCCTCTTTTGGACCCGCAGGTTTTGTTAAACTGTACATGCGGTCATTGGCGCCCTGGAATGCCGAGGATCAGCATTTTGGTCTTGCAGGCTGTGATATTTATTGGTGCTACGTTTGTCGACATACAGTATCTGCAGAAAGCTGGGTTCAAGGCGAGAAGAGCTGCAAGAAAGGTCTTCTATGAGAGAGTGAGAGTAGGTCATAGGAATCAGTGCATGTGGACTCGTTCTGATTGTGCCACAGTTACTCTATGAACTCGATGTGGAAGAAAGCCGCATCGCGGTCATTCAAGCCACCCTTCTCTTGAGCTTCTGGAATGAAACACCAGGCGACAGTAAAGGAGGCTGGCATTTTCTGGGCATTGCGATATCCCTAGCTCTCACAATAGGACTCCACCGGAAACAAACCTTCTCAAATCCTTCTCTGGAGAAACACCTTTTGAAAAGAATATGGTGGTCGTGTTATATGAGAGACCGTATGCTTGCGCTTGGAATGTCTCGGCCACTGAGGATCAAAGACAGCGATTTCAACACTCCATTACTGGCGCTGGACGACTTTGAGCTCGAGAATAGCGCAGGAGGCGACCTTCGACACCATCTCATAGAGCCACAATGTCAGCGAAGCCTTGCGGAAATGTGCATTACAATGGCACAGCTTTGTGTCCAAATAGGGGTGGTAATCGACTTGCACTATTCCATTTTGCCCAGCGACGATTTCGATCAATCCACAGAGGATCCGACAGGGCGGACTACGGCAATACTATATCCCAAGTCTGAGCCAGGGAAATTAGAGCTGGTTAAGGCGTGTAACCAGTCTCTGCAACGGTGGCTCAACAATAGGCCTGCATCAGCCATCTTTCAACCTCCCAAGTCAAAAGATTTTGTTGGATTTTCTACAGTTGTGATGGCTCATCAAGCTTTCCTCCACGTCTGCTTTTGCGGGGCCCTCTCGGCGCTCCATCGGCCACAGGTGTGTCTGGGCAAGCCCGATGCCGGAAGTATGAATGTGAGAGAGGACGTTCGAGAACAATCCCGACTGAGAGTCGAAGAAGCAACCTCGGAGATGGCAAAAATCAACTACCACATCCACAAATTCCATTTGAGTTCTTCTCTGCCTCCCACTGCTGCTACGTTAGAATTGCCGATACTCATCACCCACATAAAGCATATACAATACCAAGAGGGTCAGAGTCTGGAAATATGTTTGGAATCAATATTTTATTGTTTGAAAGTGTTGGAGGAAATGCAAGATCTCTACGTGGGAGTTGATTTGGTGATCAGGTTTGCCGCTGACCTGATGAGGAGGGCAAGTATCAACGTGTTAACCGGACAGAACATGAGAGTTTCCGGGGTCAGTTATAAAGGCTTCCAGTACCAACTTCGAAAAGCGCGGTCTGATGAGGCTGAGGCCAAGTGGGAGACCGGCAATATCAACAGCCACCATCCTATCCAAACTGATTCGTCATTGCCTACTCCTTACTCGCCACGAGACGGTCCTTGTAGGACGAGAACACCATCATCCGGGGAGCAAGCGAATGACACGATGTTTGATCTATCAAAGGTTCATTGGGGCTGTTGCGATGGTATTTTTCTTGCGGAGAATCCAGACCTAGAGGCTATGTTTCAGCTAATGGTGGATTTTGATAGCCTAGATGACCTCGCTTCATAGCTCAATTCCGTTAATCCACCAGATTTCTATGGCTCCTGAGGATCGGCAGCTTCAGAATCTGAAAGGGTAGAAATGTTCAATGGATATAGATAACAACGGTTTTCTGAAACGGCTCACAATTGTAGCTTGAATTATTCAAAGGTTTCCTGCTTATTTCTGCGTGTTTGTGCACAGACAACTGTACAGCCAGTGCCCAATATCAACGAAACTCTGTCACTACAGATCAGTTCAAGCCCCCGTAGATTTATTGATTCCAGTTAAAGTCTGCTTCTTGTCAGCGGTGTATATGTTTCTAATCGATGGCCATATCGCATCTGCTATAATAGCATATATATACAGCACATGAATTTATGGCTGAAGCTCTGACCAGATACAAAGTTGAGGAAACCCGTGGACAAAGTGGTCACCTTCTTACCGAATGAACGGACGTTGAGTGGAGAGGAAACAGCAAAGTAAGTGGGAACATCTCCCACCTCACCTCCTCACCTCCTCACCCCACCCCCCCACCCCACTCGCCCAATACGCCGTTCATCTTGTCTGCCGTCTGGCTCACTCTGATTGGAAAGTTGCTGGAACAAGTCAAGAGTTTCGCAGCCCGCTCTCATCATGTAGACGTGGAAGACAGGCAATGATGAAGTTCATCTTCTTTACGTATGTTCTTTTTAAGGTTTTCGCGGCGAGGTCTCAGGTATTGCAGGATGTTGACCTGTACTCCATATATCTAAATGCTTCCACCGTCTTTCAGTATACTCATCTTCCGTTGAGCGCTTTGTCGGAAGGAAGGTTCCAGGGACCTCTAAATAGGCGACACTAAGATAAAGTTACAAAGTACTCAGTTGGCTCTATCGAGTGCACAGCTCTACTTGACCGAAAGCAAACGACACATAGCGCGGTCCGGGGCCAGACAGAATCATTTGATACTTCGTATCAACTCATTTTCCTCGCGACGTACCGGAAAGACTCTGAAGGAAGAGGCTAACCGGAGCCTGCCGGGCCCCATCGAGAGCATCAACTGGTCACTCTTAATAATTTGAGAGACGCCAGTCTATAAAATCGTCGAGATATAAACTTGGCTGTGAGATCTCAACATGCCTTAATTTTCAGATGTAGCACTACCATATTTGCAGACAGTAAAAAGCTATTGGACGCTGAATTAATTCAGGATAAAAATAACATGCCATCGATCTACACAAGCCTACGGCTACCTGCACCTCCGCAGCAAATCTGGGATATCTTAACCGACTTCGAACATTACTCAGAGTGGAATCCTGTCATTCAAAGTATTTCTGGCGATCAATGCAGTACGTTGTCTTGTACATCTCAACATGTGGAAATCATACACGGAGGCTAAGCCATGAAAAAGCCAATGGACGACTCGATATGCAGACTAAGAACCCGCGAAACTCGAAAGGTCGCGAGGATGTATACAGATTGGTTGTTACAGAGACTATTTAGTGTTCCAGTGAGGAGAACAAAACCGATCATAAAGAACTGGTCACCTGTATGCCACTTACATTGGCGGGCACGTCCCTTTGATCTCCCGGGTTTGTTCACAGAATATCATCATTTCATTCTCCAGCCAAGTGCGGATGGGATGAGCACCGACTTCGAACACTTTGAGCTCTTCTCGGGGCTCCTTGCCTATCTTTTGAAATACCTGAGAAAAAGCACATACTCGGACAGGGAAGATGCTTTTCATGCGATGAACGAAGCCTTGAAGAACCGGGCAGGACATCCAAGGAAGGAGAATGTCTAAAGATGTTGCAGATTCTACTGGAGGGTGAAAGCCGTACAATGCGGTCCCATGAATGGAGTGACAAGGAAAAGAACTTCAAGTTTCAGGCAGAGGCACTCAGCAATGCACTATTACCTCGTTGTCCGAGCGGGACCGCAAGCTGTCCTCTGGATGCAGCCACTCTAAAACACAAGCGGAAGCGGGCTTGATCTAGCGATGGTAATTTCAGCAAGTTCTCAAGGGGCTCGAGATTGCATCATCATATAACAAGTAGCCATCTTCATGGTTTGCACCTGCATCTATGACACTGATTGGTAGTCTCGCTTTGATTGTAGGCGGCACAGGCCTTGCTCGACTAGAACGGGGTTTTTTGATGTGGAATTTTCCGGCGGGGATTTGACAGAGTTTCTGAAGCAGCTCCTTTATGGAGTTTTGGTCGAACTTCAGTGGGGGATTCCCACTGCTCTGGCCTTCCAAGTGACTTGGAGAAAATCGGAGTAGGCTATCGAGGCCCAGACCACGTTCACCCACGTTTTGGTGCTAATTAACCCCAGACTACTTCCCTTTGTCCCATGGGGATGTTTCGGTCTGTCCCGGTACATCTGCACCCCGCATTAACTTGGCAGAGAGCCTGTCGCACGGGGTGACGAATCATGTCGTTTAGTCTCCCAAATGTTCTTGTGTTACGCTGCCTCTGTCTGTTACTCTGGGTTACTTCCTCTTTTCGTCCAGACAGATCCCTACTGGAAATTCTTCTCAACGTTGATACTGAATGTCAAACAGACCGTATACCTCTGGCCTTCCAGAAGAGGCCTGCGAAGAACTGTTGTGGTGTGATAGCTAACTAGAGCCCCCTATTGCCTCTCTCGCTTGCCCAGGACTTGGCTTTTGGAGTACTCCTAGTTGTCAAAGCTAATCTTACCCGAGTCCCGAGGGAACGGGGGAACTAATGCGTGGGGGAAAATTAGGGACGTACAGGTATGTATATCAGTGAATAACGACTCCTCCGCTGGGGCTCTTCCTCCGCTACAACTCGAACTACTGCCTTCAAGTATTGTCAAGAGAGGAAGTTACCTACCGACCAACATGATTTCCTTAGTACAGTTTGGGGTAATAATCCAGACAATTCATGCGATTTAAACAGTAGCTAACGCATCGGGCAGATTGTTCTATTTGTCGGCCTAGGAAGTATCACCTATGGCTACGGATCCAGCATCATCGCCACGACCACTGGCCAGCCCACTTTCTTGTCCTATTTTGAGCTTGATACAAGATCAAACGCGGCCGATCTTCTGGGAGCTATAAACGGTCTCTTCTCTGTTGGAGGACTGTTTGGTTGTATCTCTTGCTTCTGGATTCCCGACAAATGGGGTCGCAAAAAGGCCATCATGTTCGCCTCTTTCACATCGATTATTGGCAATGGTCTTGCAGCTGGGAGCGTGCACATTGCCATGTTCATCATTGCCAGGTTGATCACCGGCTTCTCTGTCGGAGCCCTGGTGAGTCTCGTTCCACTGTACCAGAGCGAGATTTCCCCTCCAAAGATTCGTGGTCTCCTCGTGGGCATGCATGGGACAGGCATCGCTACCGGCTATGTTGCTGCTAGCTGGATCGGCTTTGGCTTTTATTTCGTCAGCGCAAGTGGCACCCAATGGAGAATGCCGCTGGCAATCGGCGCATTATGGCCTCTCCTCCTTGCTGGCGGTGTGCTGCTGATTCCCGAGTCTCCACGTTGGTGTAAGTTGTCTCAACTCCACATTTTGGCTAGTTCTTGGCTGACCATCACCTAGTGTTAACAAAGAACCGCCCCGACGACGCCCTCAAGGCGTTCAAGGCGTGCCGGACTGAGTCTGGACCTCACAACGACGAGCATGCTATTACGGAGGAGTTTCATCTACTCCATTCTCAAGTGATTGAAGAGATGAAAGACCATGTCCCATTGAAGGAATTCTTCACGAGGCCGGCCCTGCGCAAGAGGTGCTGGATCGGCTGGTTGACCATGGTTGCGGGTCAATGCACCGGGACAATTGTTATCAATAGTAAGTAAGTCTCGCCATGACAAATTGTTACATGCTAACGCACATGGTAGACTATGGCCCCTTCCTATACAGAAATCTCGGCTTCAGCGTTGTGAACCAACTTCTCATTCAATGCGGCTGGATAACAGTTTGCCTTCTTGGCAATGCTTTCAACGCAGCAGTCATTGATTACTTTGGGAGAGTTCGAATGCTACGTGGGTACTCTGATCTGGAATGCCTCGTCCCTGGCTGACCATACCAGTTTTCGGGTTCTCTGGAGATGTTATCGCACTTGCTGGCGAGTGCGCTACGGTTGCTGTTTATCAACAAACTGGCTCGGCCGCTGCCGCCAAAGCTGCCGTGTTCTTCCTCTTCCTCCATATCGGATTTTACGGCTGGACCATTGACGCTAGCACATATATCTACGCCACAGAGATCTTCCCCAATCCTCTGCGTGCGCGTGGTATTGGAATCTCATGTTCTGGCTTGTTCATGGCCGTCATTGTTTTCACTAGGTAAGTCTAAAAGAACAAGCCGCGTACCTCAGCCTGGCTAACTCGTTACACACAGTGCCGCGCCCACTGCATTCAACAATATTGGATGGAAATATTATCTCGTCTTCTGTATTCTGACCGCTATGAACGTCGTCATCATCTGGTTCTTCTTCCCGGAGGTCTGTATTTCTGTCCCGCCGTCGCTAGGAAAGTAACTAACTATGACCTAGACCAAAGGCCTAGCCCTTGAGGATGTCGCTGAAATTTTCGGAGATGGTATCGTCCTCACAGACACCCGTGAAGAACAGATTCACCAGCGCTTCAAGCAGTCTCATTATCGCGCAGAAGTCCTCGACGAGGTGATGCGTGACGAGCCTGTGCAGATCCACATGAAGAGTGAAGAATCATCTACCAAGGTTGAACACATCCCATAAAAGGACAAGCCAAGATATCTCTCCAAAGCCGAGAAACTTGTCCAAGAGGTGATGGATTCCTGAACGACTACTTCTAAAGCTGGGGCGTGCATGACGCATCATAAATAATTATACACGCCAGTGCGTCGGTTGGAGCAAAGTTGTGCTACCCGGGCGAGAAAATAGTGGGAGTAATAGAAGCATGGGCTGGACGCAGAAATATCACCGTCGATGTGCAGCAGTAGCAGTTGTAAAACGAGAACCCACGCGGGTCCGCACTCTACAAAAGAGTAAACATCTCATCGTATCTTTGCACGAGAATAATGTGACGAGGCTTTCGTTGGGAAAAAGTATGAACCCGGCTGGATAGGGTACGTGTGGGACACGTGCCGCAATGCAGCAGGGCTGCTGGTTGCTCCGGCCAATATCCATTGCAAAGTAGTCGACAATCTTTCGGGGAGGCCACGCTCTTCAAGTGTTGGCTCCAACAGCTTGCTGGGAGACATATTTGAATGGAGGCCGTGGAGTGACAAACTTGGTCCGGGTATCAAATCCCGCGGCGGAGGATGGTGTCCGTGGCTGGAGTTAATTCGATCCAGGTCATACCCCAGACAAGCACTTCTGGACGGTCTGGATCATCGCTGATTGATACTGGCCCTCCACAATAGCTATACATATCCCACAACCTCGGCAACAGTTGGCAATGGCGATGCTATGGATCTTTCCTGCAATACTCACAATCCATTACGCACATTTGGGTGTGTTGGATGAAGGTTTGAGTGGAGGGCTGGCAGCAACACAGTTGGAGTTTAGGGAGCCAAGATCTTCAGCGAATCACAGCCGACATGAGCGGTTTAGAGTGTACAGAGTACAGGTACATACCGAGTACAGTGCCATTGTAGCTGGCTATCATTAAAACCCAACGTTGTTCTTATTGGTGTGGTGTTTCCGAGAGACCCTTCCTTGCATGAAGCCAGGAATCCAAAGGGGTGTGCTACGTGAGACCCAAGCAGCTGTTGTTATGCTTACATGAGGTTGCAGGTCGTACCTCTGGAGCTAATGGCTGTCTGCGTCGGGCACCGCTTGGTACTATGCTCTCTGCAGACATTCCTCAGCCCTTTCCAAGCAGATATTTTGGTGCATTTGTCTGTGGTTGAGGCCAACGAGGTACGCGAGCTGTCATGACTCATGAGGTTAGTGCGGGTTGTTTGTCCATGAATGCCATCTGCCATCGAATTTTCGAAGCCTCATCAGAACGAATGAGCGATAGCCTAGACCAGCGTGCTACTACGGCCCAGACCCATCTAGTGTACGAGAGCTGATGGTCTTCATCTGCGCCGGGTTATGCCAGCCTTCATCATTCCGCGAACGCGAATCAAGCCCAAAGAGTAGGGCACACCCACAATAGGTGAGTCCGTGGAGTGGTACCACTCAATCTGGACCTTGACCGCCGTCTCGGTTACACGGATCCCTTGAGAATGATTTGCTTGGGGGTTTGCCGCCGTGGGGCACTAGGAAACAAGACTGCCTGAATATCACAAGGTCACGGCGAATACTGCATCAATCCATCAAGCATTTCGAAGTTCTTTGGTTTGGTCGGGGAGCGGACGCTCATAGCACTGAGACAATCGATCTCTTCAGTGCTCGGTCCGAAACAAAGCCTATGAGATTGAACAATCAGGTACGACTGAGACCACCGATGCCATTCGGCCCAGCCACTGGATCGTGATATTCTGACTGGTCTCGGAATCTTGCATCAGCCAACAATTGTCTGTATGTGCACAGCCGCTCTCACTGATCATCCAGTTACTGGCTGAACTGATGTGAAAAGATCCAAACTCTCTTCGCTCTCTTCATGCCATAGCGTTTTAACCGAATGAACAAATTCATTCGTACAGTTCGTGGCGGAGTCGGCTGCATGAGCAGGGATCTGAAATTACACGGACGGGCAACAATGTTCGAGACCAGAACTTGTCTCCTACTTACTCTCTGTCTGTTCTCAAAGCTGTGGGCTCTTCGTCATGACAGCAATAGGTAGTGTCAACTGCATGGGCTGAACCTGTTCTGGAAAGCAGAAGCAAGTATCCGTCTTCACTGCAATGACGAGCCATGGTTAGTACTCCCCGTCTTTTCGAACAGGTACTGGGATGCAATCGGGACTTCTCAATGCGTACCAGAACCCATGATCGCCAGTCTTGTGCAGCGTCGGGCCTTGAAAGAAAGCGACATCGAGACCGCTATGGTACTTTCGGAAAGCACACTGAGTCTCTGCCATTTCCGAACAGAGCACCGGCTGACACTGCATATACCGGTCCCTACCTGACTATGCGGTGCAACCTGGTGTGAACACCGCCAAATTCGAGCCACAACTGCGATGACGGTATTTCAACGGTTCAAGTGAACATTTCTGGCGAGATATCGCGACATTTCGAGCAATTCAATCTCACTTTCAACCACGTTCCTTGCTTTTTCTACACTCGCTTGCATAATATTGGCCCGAGATTTAATGGCATATGTACTCGATGCTGGCCGGCCGGCTATCGATGCTGTGGAATGTTCCTTTTTTTGGCCGTCCATAAACGCAGAGCGTGCTACACAGAGTCAGAAAATTCAGGGTGGCCCTGCTTTTGGTACCTAAGCACTTGAGTCTTCGCACAGGTATAAATATCAGCGAATTTCCAACACAATGCTCACCAAGCACCTCGACAGGATTCCGTCCGTCTTTCACTCGTTTCAGACAGCATTGGAAAAGGCGTCAAGGCTTCCCGAATCTCATCAATCATGTATCGTGGTCTAGTGCAATCGGCTTTTCTTGCAAGCTCTGCCTTGAGGTACAGCCCGGTCCGCTGCCACATCTGAAGCTTACTGACGAAGGAATATCTAGCATCTTTGCTGTCGCCAACCCGGTACTCCCTCGTGGCGACTCTTCGACTGGTTGGGGTACGTCCTCTGGCTGGGATTACGGCTCCGGAGTTGGCAGCACACCTGTTGGTGGATGTTCCGCTGGACCTACGACTACCTTGACCGTTACACTGCCCGGGGGTCCAAGCTCTTGTCCAGCTCTCCCGCCTCCATCTACGATCACTGTGAGCACTTGTCCCGGAACCACACCAGTGGGCGGAGTCACCGGCTGCTCGAATTTGCCTCCCTCCACAATTACGGTGACGACTGGAGGTCAATGCCCACCCACCACGCCAGTTGGCCCAGGAAACTCCTGTCCAACTGTGCCGCCATCCACCGTCACTGTTGGCTCCAGCTGCGCTCCAACCCAGCCGTGTAGCGGACCAGCAACTGTCACAGTGACTTCCGGGATAGACTGCCCTCCGCCCTCTCCTGGAAGCACCACCACCGTCACCGTGACTAGCCCGGCAAGCTGTCCAACCTGCCCGCCACCCAGCTCCCCTGTCGGTCCCTGTGCCACTTCGACCGTGATTAGCACACTGATATCGACAACGACGGTTGGTAGCGGAGTCTCAACGACCACTGTTGTCATCCCGGCCCGGACCATTACCGAAACTACCACCATCGTTTCCACAATTCCCGGGCCTGGAGCAACTACTACCGTTGTCTCTACAGTTCCCGGTCCAGTACAGACCACTACTGTTGTTTCGACCGTTCAGGCTCCAGGACAAACCACGACCGTTGTTTCTACAGTTCGCGGCCCGGCCGAGACTACGACTGTCGTTTCTACCGTTCAAGGTCCAGCTTCGACCACTACAGTCATTTCGACAGTCCCAGGCCCTGTTCAGACGCAAACAGTCACCACTACCGAGATCGGCCCGGGGCAGACAGTCACATCCACTGTCACTAGTACTCTCACAATACCAAATGGACCTCCGTCCACAGTGACTACCACCGTGTCCCAGCCTTGTGGCCCTGGGCAGACAGTCACCGTTCCTGGACCAACGTAAGTCTCATCTCCTTGGAAGCACTATTTGCACAGGCGTCGTCGCCGCAGGCTAACATTATTACCAGGACAACTGAAAAATGCACCAACGTCGGCCCAGCCCAGACCGTCACTGTCACAGGACCTACTGTGACCGCTGGACCTACCACGTAAGTGTTCCCTCGCTAAAGTTCCATCGCCCTTGGATGTGTTGCTCCGATTCGGCGTCGCCAGGTTCGATAAGGCTAACAGCAACCTATAGCACCGTCACCACCACGGAGAAATGTACCAACGGTGGACCGGGGGCTACCTCAATCTGCGCCACGGTCACCCAATGGTCGACGATTGGAGGGGGATATGGCGGAGATTATTCAACTGAGACCGCTTCAACTACAGGCTGGAGCAAGGGGGGATGGAGAAAGTGGTAATGTTGACGAATGAATGTCGCCATGTTCAAGATGAGATGCTTCGAAAAGTATAGCGGGCAAACGCCTTCCTCAAGACAATTGTTCCCACTGATGTCACTCTTTTGATTGTCGAGGCAGGTTGAACAAAGTGGTTGGGAAACATAGATGATATAATGTGAATGAGAAGAACTTGAGTGTATCAAGCCCTTCAGACAGACCATCAAAGATACAATCCGATCGAGCAGGCATGCATCGCAACTCCTGCTGGACCCTCTGCGGAATAGTGCGGTATTCGCCCTTTTCTGATCCGAATCAGGTACACTGTCTGTGGCATTCATCGACATGGCTGGGTTTTCAGCCTTCTCGGCCGAAGAAGCAACAGAAGATCAGCTCGACTGGGCGAAAGAGAAAAGAAAGTCGAATCTCCTGATGCCCAGAAACGACGAAACTCGGAGGCGGCGGTCTTGGCAAGTATGACGTGTTTTGCGCACTTGGATGGAAGTGTGATTGGCGGGGCGACAACTGCGGCCCAAATTTTCTACCATGCGCCTCTCAACCTTACCAACAAAACCCCTCCACAAGTTTGAAAGGCATCTTTGTGTCCTTTTCCTTTCTTTATTGCTCTTTTTGCCTGGACTGTATGACCCAAGTCCAGCATCCTCCACGTGCTTTCTAATCTTCTACGAACCAGGCTCCAACCTAGACGCCGTCTTCAACTTGTCGGGTGTTGATAAATTTCCACCCCCACCGAAAAGCCTTTCCCTTAACGCTGAGGCTGCGTTACGATCAAGTTTTCCACGCAAACTACTTCACAATGCCTGTATCCGCCTCGAAAGCCGCCCGCCTGGCTAAAAAGGCTGAGAAGGCCGCCGAGAAGGGTGAAAAGCCCGAGAAAAAGACCGTAGCCTCCAGGCTGTCCTCCAAGGCAAATTCCAAGAACCCCTCGACAAATGGTTCGAAAGCCTCGTCAGTTGCCGGGGATGACGATCCTCCTATGCTCGACGAGGACGAAGAGGATGCACCCGCCACGAGCGCCGACAAGATGGACAAGGTGAAGAAACTGACTGAACAGATGGACAAACACGGTCTGTCTGATCGGGTCACGACCGGTGTCCTAGCCTCCCAAGAAGCAAGTCGGGATGTCAAGATTACTTCAGCCTCTCTGGTGTTCCATGGCAAGGTGCTTATCACGGATTCCACCATCGAAGTCAACTTTGGCCGAAGATATGGCCTTCTTGGAGAGAACGGATGTGGCAAATCCACCCTCCTAAAGGCTATCGACAAGAGAGAATTCCCCTTTCCAGAGCACGTTGACATCTACCTGCTGAACGAGGGCGCTCCTCCCACTGACATGGGGGCCCTTGAGTGGGTCATCAAGGAAGCTGAGAAGGAAGTCAAACGACTGGATGACCTAGCCGAGGAGATCTTGGAAAAGGAAGGCCCCGAGAGTCCCACACTCCTTGAGATCTATGAGGTAAGATCCCAGAACCGCACCTTGGATATACGTGTGCTAATAGACGCCAGCGCTCGGAAGCAATGGACCCAAGCACGTTCGAAGTTCGAGCCTCCCTTATCCTTACCGGCTTGGGTTTCAACAAGAAAACCATCCATAAAAAGACCAAAGATATGTCCGGTGGTTGGAGAATGCGGGTAGCGCTCGCCAGGGCTCTCTTCGTCAAGCCGTCCCTCCTCCTTCTCGACGACCCCACAGCCCATCTTGACCTCGAAGCTTGCGTGTGGTTGGAGGAGTACCTTAAAAAGTGGGACAAGACTTTGATCCTGGTTTCACACTCGATGGATTTCCTGAATGGAGTCTGCACAACCATGATTGATATGCGACAAAAGAAATTACTCTACTACGGTGGCAACTACGACTCTTACATCAAGACCCGCACAGAACAGGAGACCAACCAACAGAAGGCATACCTCAAGCAGCAGGAAGAAATTGCTCATATCAAGAAGTTTATTGCTTCCGCTGGTACATATGCAAATCTAGTCCGTCAAGCCAAATCAAGGCAAAAGATCTTGGACAAGATGGAGGCCGATGGATTCATCCAACCTGTCGTTCAGGATCGAGTGTTCACGTTCAGATTTGCCGATGTCGAAAAACTCCCTCCTCCAGTTCTTTCTTTTGACGATGTCACATTCAGCTACTCTGGGAAGCCCGAAGACAATCTCTACGAGCACCTAGATCTAGGTGTGGATATGGACAGCAGAATGGCCCTTGTGGGGCCCAATGGTGTTGGGAAATCGACCTTGCTGCGCATCATGACGGGTAAACTCTCACCGACGGGGGGCTCAGTTAGCAGGCACACCCACTTGAAACTCGGACTCTATTCGCAGCACTCGGCCGACCAACTCGACTTGACCAAGTCAGCACTCGACTTCGTCCGAGACAAGTACTCGTCCACATCCCAGGATTACCAATATTGGCGTCAACAACTTGGTCGTTATGGTCTTTCCGGGGACGCGCAGACGGCCCTGATGGGCACACTGTCCGAAGGCCAAAGATCTCGAGTGGTCTTTGCTCTCTTGGCCATCGAGGGTCCCAACATGCTCCTGCTTGACGAACCTACCAATGGTCTTGATATTCCTACGATTGATTCTTTGGCTGACGCCATCAATGCTTTTTCTGGGGGTGTCGTGGTTGTCTCTCACGATTTCAGGTATGCCTAACCCCTACCAGTTGTGATCGACGAACAGGCTGACTTTTCCCACAGACTACTTGACAAGATCGCCAAGGACATCATGGTGTGCGAAAACAAGACTGTCCGACGATGGGACGGGTCGATTGGAGAGTACAAAAATTATCTTCGGAAAAAGATGGTGTCGATGGGACAAGTTTGAAGTTTCAGTCCAGCGCCACCCTTGAGCTCCTTCCCATCCACGGCATTCTGCCGCCAGGCTGGGAATGGCGTGGCGATAATTGCTTGAATTTTGATCTTGATTTACGATTTGGGTGTTTTGTCACCTGACGGATGATTATGACTGATGCATCCCATGTTTGTTTCCGAATCCGAGCAGACAAAAGACCATGTGGCACTGCAGGCGTCAGGGATAGACAGTTCCGGGTTGGCATATTCTGGCAGTATGTGGGAGGGGATGAAGGACGGCACATGGTGCTGTTGCGCACGATGCCTTGGATCCCGGTGTCACGTCGCCCTGAGACTGGGACTCATGGACACCGCATCGCGTCGGCATGACACGGAAGAGCGCCGCCGGCTGATAGATGTAAATGGTTGCAAGGCATCGCATGATTGTTGAAGCCCACAGCTGTTCTCCACCTTCAATGTCGGCCGGGGCTCCAGCCGAATGCTTCGCGATACAGCTCGTCGCTTACGAGACATAGACCTGACTTGAATGGCAAAGTATCTTACGAGACAGAGAGTGCCTTGCTTGTACCTGCCACGCGCTTCCCCGCCTTGCGTGAGCCTTTCCTGTTGGATCAGCTGCTTACATCGCATCGGCGCCATGAGCTCCAGACAACGGTCCAGACACACGCGTCCAGATGAGGAGAATTAGTCAAGTACATAAACACCAGGCGGCATCAACTCCGCATCTCATCTTCGTCTCCGCGTTGCATGACGTACTGAAGCCTCTCCAATATCAGAGGTAAATTTCGTGCACATTGATCCAACTCCACGTCTTCCAGAAGCATTTCCCGGCCTCTGCCACCTATTCATTCTTCCAGTAACCAGGTACTTCAGTTCTACACCTTGTACTATCTTCCCTTGGAGGGGTCAGTGCCGAAATCAAGCGATTATGTCCACCTCCGCCAGTGGCGACAAGCAGAATCCACGCCTAGTCCAGGTGACGAGGGCTGATCAGGTCAAGACGGGGCATGGACAGACGGATGGGATGATACGGCAGGTATGTGCACAGCGTTTCTTTCAACATCCGGTTTGCACTTGTTCCACCCGAGAGAAGCCAATCTGCTCCCTTGGAAGTGGTCACCATACGGTCACCATGCATGCCTTCGTAGTGACTGTCAAGGAGAACTCTCCGACGCGGATACGAGAACGATCATTGTGCGCGCAAGCACGTTATTGCGCAAGAAGATGTTATGAGATTCAAGGCCCAAGGCTTCTGTACTTCTCCTTCCTGCCCCCCTTCTCCCGTTAACTCATCAATGCGTCTCTGTCCCTCCCTCTCTCCATCTCGCCAATGAACAGGCGTACTGACCTTGGCACATAGTCGGCCATTGTCGAGCTATCCCCTTCCATTTGCGGCACGTTGATGCGCGCCCAACCGCATTCCGCTTCAGCAGTCCACCATCATGGCACACAAGACACCATCGTCTACGCCGTCAGCGGCTATGGCTCTCTCGTATCATCCTCAGGCAAGGGCAAAGACGGTCTGTTTGGGGATGTCAGGCAAGATCTCAAGCCAGGAGATTGGGCATTGATCCCCGCATACCGGGAGCATCAGGAGGTGAACGACGGAGATGAAGAGGTCGTCTGGGTCATAGTGCGGGCGCCGGGAGGGATCCCTGTCGTCGAGAACCTGAAGGGTTGGGGCGAGAGCTTGGAGATGTAACTGCTGGGGGAGGTCATGGATGCTGCAGACTTGGGGGCCGAGTCAATGTAGACCACTTCTAATGTCCGCTGCTGTCTGCACTCCGTCTTTGGGTAAATATTGAGATCGGCTTACCAGGAATCAATGCCAGATCATGCGGCAGGTTCTATTGTGACATGAGATGCGCACGTGGTACTGCTCAAGGCTGCAATTCTTAAATACCCTCAATCCGTCAATTGGACCAGTTGATGAACCTATCTAGTCTGCAGGAGAGGCACCTGATTGTGACGGACCGGTCGAAGCCCTAGATCAGCACATACCACGGCTGTCCTTTCAGTGATGTGGGCGAACCAGCGCATCGATTGAGCGTGGGCGCAGAAAGCTCAGGAGTTGTCTTCATGGCTTTCTAGATCGTCAACATCCTCTTCGTCCGTGTCGTCTTCCTCATCTTCCTCTTCAAACTCTTCTGCCTCGCCACCTGTTCCCTCGTCCCAGCCAGCTTCATCGACCTCCACCTCGCCTTTCAAATCCCAGCGGTCGCCTTGTGCGGCCTGGCTCACGTATTTGACAAATCTCAATGTGCCTTTATCCCTGAGCACGATGCAGAATTTATTCCAGCCCGGGGGACTGGCGAACAGGATACCATCATCTTCATCATCGGCGGATCTGTAGACGGCGGGATCGTGGGCTGGTTTTTTGCCGACACTTGGTAGGGGCTTCGAGTCGCTCTCTTCTGGTAGGCCATCTTCCTCCTCTTCACCCGCCATGTAAACTTCTTCGCCGCCGAACTCGATTTCCGGTGATGTGGAGACTTGGATCTTTTCGACTGCGGCAGCCTTGCCCTTCTTGTCTTTCTCATCCTCGACGCCATTGCGGAAAGACCGACTGCCGTTGGCTTGCTTTTCCAAACCAGTCGCCAGCTTACCATCCTCTTGTTCATCCGAATCTCGTTCTCTTTCCCAGCCCTCACTCGGGGTGATTGAAATGGTGAACTCCAGTCTGGGCGTCTCGCCTTGGTAAGGGTTTGCTAGTGCATAGTCTTTTCCTCGTCGAAACCTGCGAGCTACTGCGCTCTGGCGAATGAGACTTCTTGTCTTCAGCCCTGTAACGAGCGCCAGCCACTTCTTGAAGGCATGTGAATGTATCAAGTCAGCCAGGATTCGGGAGACTGGACATTTGTCGCGATGCAAGGCCTCCGCTGTTTGAAGGTACGCATAGCGTTGCTTGTGTGGTGGACGAGCAACTCTCCAGGCTGAAGGATGATAGGATCTCGATCCGGATGGGACCGGATGTTTGTCCTCACTTTCGACCCTTTGTATATAGTCCTTCAACTCGGCCGCGAATGTGGGGTTGAAGAACTCCTCTAGTTGTAACACTGACATGTCGGCAAATGAGGATGAGAAGTCTTCAATCATGTCCGGAGTTAGATAGCTTGGTGTCAAGTAATGAAGCAAAAAGGTCAAATCTTGCTCTGTGAGTATGCCATCTTCGGTGTCAAGGTCGTCGCCTGGGTCAATCTCCCTCGCGGCAGCTCGACTATCCATGACGCTCCTCGGCTCGTCAAAATGACGAAACGCCAGCTGGGGCTCGTCAAATTCGTTCGAGGCGCTCTTGAGCTGCGCAAGGCTAGATTTCTGAGCCTGTTCTTGTTCCATGCCTTGTTCAAACCCGTCCTCGCCTTCCTGCGGGATGTGATACCAGCCGCTGATTGCCATGCGGACTCTCCTGCCGTCTTGTTCCAGGGTTTCTGCGTGGTAGACTTCTTCCACGTCGTGGTAACTCTCACCAGGCCTGACGGCGAAGAAACTCAATTGCCCGAAGGAAGGTGGAATGTTTAAACTGTGCTGAGCAAGAGGAACCTTGATCTCCTCGCCTGCTTTGTTTCTTTTCGTCTCGGTCGGATACAGCCTCAGTCCGCCGCCCCATTCAGGTTGCCAGGGATGATCTGGGTCTGTCAGGTACAAGATGTAACTGACTCTTCGGCTCCCGATCACATCATCGTGGCACAAAAGATAACTCCCTGGTGTGTAGACATTGACTGCCATGTCGGTCTTTTTCCCAGACACCTTGCCTGCGCCGGTAACAGTGGACACCCATTCCCTAAAATCAGAGCTGTACAGAGCATCTCTCAGGCGAACTAGGCTGGGCAAATGTTTGAGCGACTCAGCATCGAGGTTGGAGAGATTTGCAAGGTCGCCGGATTGGTAGATGCGATAGATGTCCGTCTCTTTCAGGGTAAAATGAATATGGGTAGTGATTTCCTGCCGCACCGAGCGGAGCAGAGGTTCTTGGATCAAAGAGGGTACAACGGCATGCGGATAAGGCACCGACGTTTGGTAAGAATTGCGGAAGGCTTCTCGAGTGTCAAGCCCGAAAAGATCTGATCGAAAAGCAGAATCAATGCTGCTATCGTCGGCCGATACAAGGCGCCTTTTCGGAGGTGACTCTCCATCTTCGGGTGCTTTACGTTTCATCCTGCAAGCAGACAAGATTCAGGTTCTCATGATATCGACTGTAAAAGAACGTGTGGTAAAAATTTCCGCAAGATTTGAATGGGAGTGCGAAATATCCGTGGGAGGAGAATCGGCTGAGTTTGCTCAGGCCACTTTCAACTTTTTTTCTCCGCAACATCAAACATCCCCAATTATATACTCCACAACACTAGTATGTGCCCTCGCATTACGAGATATCTATTCGGAAAGCCAACAAACAGCTATGGGGAAAAGAAGGCATTCGTCGCATCAGCATCGTTCTATTGAAACCACTTGACCATATTGCCCAAGACTGAACATACATGTCTGGTTTCATGTCGCTAACATTGCATGCAACACCAAAATATCTCCTCAGGGTATCTTATCCTATACATGAAATGCGCTCGAAAACTTCATTATTCGTAACCATGCCCAAAGAGAGAGCAGTGCTGAACTCGACATTGATCATGAATGGCCCAATAGATCATGAAAGCTGTATCCTTCAGATGCCCCCAACGACTATGATATCCCTAACTCCAACTTATACCGTTGCCTTCCATTTCTCCTTCTCTCTACCAATCCTGCCAAAGGGCTTATGGAATTTGGTCTTTGTGCTTGGCACATGTCCCGCGGGCGGGGAACTCGATGGTGACGGCGAAGTCGTCTCCCGTAATTCCCAAGGTGTCTTGTCGTCACTGAAAAGCATGCTCGCCCTCAATCCAAGGCGTTCCCGAGAGCTGTCGGGTCGTTTCTCCAGATCTTGTTGGATCCGCGATCGACAAGACTCCGAGGTTTGGCCTGCTGGATCTGCGTTGCCGCGATGACCGACATCATCGGGTAACACCAGCTCCTCAGCCTCTCCCGCCAGGAAAGCGTTGTTGAATTTTGCTCCTGATTTCTTCTTAACCAAAGCTGGCGGCCTCAGCAAGCCAGGTTCAGACAACGACAGAGCCGCCTGTAAACTAGTCATGTCATTTACGCCCTGCCGTAACGGCGAGAGCGATTGGGGGGGCGATGGAGAAGCCGAAAATGGGGCTTGGGAACTTCCAAGCGGCAAGATTGGTTGCAATGGAAAGGATTTGGCGGTGGGTATAGAATGGGACCGAGAAATTCCCATCTGAGCGTTGGCGAGGCGAGGCTCAAATTCAAAACCAACGTGGGCAAGCAGCCTGGAAGATCCTTCTCCTTCCCCAAAATATCGACTGGGAGCCGGGGAGCCGAGAGACTCGTATTCCATGGTCGTTGATCCTGCGAATGTCGCACAAGTGGGAGGTAGTTGGCCCTTGTCCAAGGGAATTCGAGATTCCGTTGTCATGTCTTTGCCATGTTGACAATATGAGCTTGTACCGACCGAGCTGCGTCCACGGCGCAGATTGGAGAGCGTGTCGGGGAGGCTTTCCGTCAAACTTAGAGCGGATGACGATGTTAGAGGAGGGGAGAAGATTGATGCGTCGGTTCTTTGCTGCGACGCCAGATCACCAGAAGAGTTGATCGACTGCGGATAAAATCGCGTACGTGAAGAAGCGCCCTGGGAACCACTTGAGTTGCCGTGAGCACCAAAGGAAGATCCGGTCGTTGAGCTCGAGTTTCGACACCCCATGTTCCTACGCGTTTTATCTTTGCCATCTTCACTGCGATCCTTCGAGTCTGTGGAGAAAAAGGTCTCTCTCTTGTTTCGTTCCTTTTCTTTTTCCTTCTCTCGCCGTTCTCTTTGCTTCACGCTCTCTGGGACTCCGTCCCATTTCGAATTGACTTTGGGGACAAAGTCCGGCATCTTCTCCAACCTCACGTTGGGAACCTTGGTGGCGCTCGTTGACCCATGCTGGGCAATCATCTGGGTGGCAACTTGGTTCAAGGCAATTTGGGTCGGCTCTCGAACTTGAAATAAGCCGCCGAGAATAGAGGGCTTTTTCTGTGGCGTTGAACTGGACTTGCGTCGTGCCTCCTGCGAGCCTTGAGCCGCCTTGTTGGCTTGGATTGCTCGAGTTTCCTTTTGAGCAGCCTCTCGAAGCTCACGAATAGTAAGGCGCGGTCTGAGTGGTTTGGAATCCGCATCTTGATCACTTTGACCAGTCATTGTGTCTTCGTCTTCCGCCAATAGGATGTTTGGGATGTGATTCTGCTTCGGGTCGCTCAAATCGCGCGATGGCGAAAGGATACGGTACAACAGCCCATTGGATGCACCTTGTTGCCTCTCTAGCTCTTCAATGCTCAACACAGTTGTTGGTTTGACCACAACAATGCGGCCGAATGGGAACAGAGGAACAGGTCGCGGAGACGATTAAACCGACATGGCAGAGACGGAAGGAGTGCCAATTCCAACCAGCGAGTGGCGTGCGACGTCCGAGCACAAATCGGTCCGTAAAGGAGGGTGGTGGATCAGAGGTTGCTGAACCTGAGTATTCCCAAGACGCGCCCTGGACGTTGGAAAGACACAAGGGAGACCTCCACATCAGCATGCACACCGGGTTGAGGGCGGTAGCTGGAGGTGAAGAAATATTGCCTAACAAGGAAATCTAGGAAGCAAAATGAGGGATGGGAGAAGTCCAGGTGAGTAGAGATTGTAGCAGGATGCCTGCGCTACGGGAGAGGGAAGCTAGACGTTGGACTTCGCGGTTGACATGGAGATCATCCTGGATCGTCGATGGCAGATTGGACGGGAGCCGGATGGGGGTTGACGGTGGCGGGTTCGGATTGAGCTGTCCCTCTGGCTCCCTCTACCAGGAATCGAGCTGAGAAGCGACTTTGGCCGTGGGGAAAGCAAATGCACATCATTGACAAATGGAGGTAGAGGCTGAGGCCAAGGCAAGCAAGGCCACGATGCAGGGGAACAAAAGAGCAGCCACGTGTGGAGCTGCAACGGGGGGAACGTGCTGTTCGATTCTCAACAGGGCGGATCGCACATGCGCTCAGCGGAAGGGAAAGAAAAAAAGTCGAAGGTGAGTAGGGGAGCATCAAAGGCCGAAATCCAACAGCAGGAGTGATTGGCTGCGGTTTGCGAGCCCCAAGGGTGTTTTCCCCAGATAGACTTCGTATCTACAACAGAGTTCGTCTTCGGGGGAATGTCGAGTGCTTCATTATTGGCTTGGAACCACGTAAAAGAAATTCCCCTGTGAACAAGGAGTGTGGCCCTTGCTTCCAATCGACCTGTCCGCTCCACCAGCCCTCTCTCCCGCCAACTTCTCCACATCTTTGTCCCTCTGGGTGCTTGTACGAGGACATGTTGCGGCGTGCCGAGCGGCCCAGCAGCCTCTGCCCACATCCTATGGGGCTTTTCACTGAATGTTCCGCCTGAAGCAAGGTATGGATTGTTTTGTCGTGTTGCCCTTGTTTGTGGTTCAAGGTTTGCAGACTCAATGGCCGCTACAAGTTACCCGAACCGTAGTCATGCGAACAGTGCACCAGAGGCTTTTTTCAGCCTCCAACTACGTCGTCCTCTCCTGCTCGTAACCTCTACGGGGGCCTGTTGCCTCGGCGTCCGGAAGTGCGCAGGAGAGAGCCCACAAAGGAGTGACAGGTCGTGGAATCCATCAACAAGAATCCATCCGAGGACATACATGGCGATTGTAGTTGTGCCTCAAGGCGGTTTGAGCTGGTGCGCCGTCCCCAAGAGTCAAATGTGGAAGCCTTTAGTCAATTCGAGCATGCGCCAATCCTGCGAAGTACACTCTTCATCACCTCGAGAACAGACAAAGTGGCCTAGAATACAGTTTGCTGGCCACATGGGAGGAACCAACATGCAGGGCGTGTTCAGGGAGAGACACGATCACAGGGCACTCCAACACGTGGCAAGGAACAATGTCGTGGGGCTACTGGCTGGGCGGCATAAGTGACATGCACCTGCATGAGAATGGAACCCTCAACAACCCCTTTGCGGCATTCATCCGAAGCAAAGCAGGTCCCTGGATCAGCGTTGGCTGCCTACAAGAGATGCCAGAACCTTGAGCGGCGAGTATAAAGTCTGGTGGCGAATGGGCCTGGCGCAGACGTGCTTGTTAGCGATCCACTGTTCAGCGATTGCCGAGAGCTACTGTACCTGGGCTCGCTGAAGTGCCCAACGGACTACCTGAGCCATGTAGCTACCTGAGATACGTACAAGTCAATATGTTACGGAGTACGTGGTAGTTGCTTGTCTGCACATCCGCAGACCAGCGGCGCTCCTGCAAGTGGGCATATACCCGGAGAAACTAAGCCCCAAGGTAGTAAGTCCCCCCAACTTATGACCGCTGCCGTCCTGGAAGTAGACGAGGTGCGTTGGTTCCCGTTTGCCTTCAGAACAATCACAGTAACACCAGCTTTTTTTGGCCAAAGTGATACCCACCTAGGTAGCGAGGTTAAAGGGTCGCATCTTGTTTGTTCAAGATGAAGATCATCGCTTTAAATGGACAGGTCGCAGAATGCTTTTTGCTTAGTGGGCACCGTCTAACTGTTCAAGACTTCTGCTCCTCTTTCCGCTTGTGAAAACTGACCCTCGTGACCGCTCACCCTTCGCGTACCGCGCCCTCGTTCCACCACCAGCCTCAGTGGCGCCTTCAAAACCCACGACCTGATACACGAGTATCTGAAGTTCCAGCTCCAACGCAGCTAAAAGTTCGGCAAACTTCGGTTCTGGCCAAAGTTTTGGCTCCTTCGTACCACCTGTCCCTCCTGCTCCTCCCCCGTCTGCATGCGCATGCCTCCAGTTGACCATGACCGACCAAAGCAGACAAGACAACGTGGACAAGGGTTCGCAGCATGCCTTACCTTTTTCCACCCCAGCACGCCCTCGAACTACCACTGAGCACGAGTCAGGCGGAAGTCCTCAACGTCCGTCCTATTCGCCAGTCACTCCGACTTTGTCTCATACCAGCCTGGCCTCCCATGATGGTGTAGGAGTAGACCTCCCACCTGCGCAATGGATGGACGAGCCGCCTGAACCCCTCCCAGTTAGCCTAGATGACAATCCAGACGCAATGGCCTTACGAGCCACCTTATCTATCCTCCAAATCCAGCGGCAGCAGGCCCTACGGGATATGCAGGAGTTGGATAAGATGAAAAAGGCTGCTTTGGAAGATCCCGACCAATTTATCAAAGACCTTCAGGCAGGGAAACTCAGTCGCTCGCCACGGTCTGGTATAGATGTTGATGAGCCAGAGCTTGTTGCCGCCGAGGACAAAGAAAGAGATGCGTCCAAGTTTGGACACTTCCCACGCGCTCAAAACATCGTCCGCACTCCACCGGTCGAGTGGGCCAAATATCACATTGTCGGCGAGCCGTTAGACCGAATACACAAGAGCCAGCAACAATATCCAGGAGTTAGCGACGAATCGCTGGAGACACTAGATCGCCCTCAGCCTCACACGATCGCGGCTCCGTATCGCCCCTTTGTGGACAAGCTGGAACAGCCACGAGCTCAATCGAATCCACGTAATTCGGAATCTTGAATATCTGTTTCCATTCACTTAATGCGTCACGCTATGACACAGCTAGATATCACCGTCGCTGTCACTATCGAAAGACCCCTGGAGCGGTTGCTTGCCACCAGCAAGACTTGCCATGTTCACTCCACGGGGAGTCCCAAACTGCCGTTTCCCTGTCAACCACATTGTGAAAGCTCTCGCGGGCAATCCCATGCTATGGTATGTGTTTCCACAGCCAGACCCGATCTGTTGTTGGGAGGGACCACTTCAAGCCATTCATCTTCGCAGATACATTTTTGGCTGTTCACTTCTTCAGAGAGCAGCTGTCTGCTAGAGCCAGGTACTTCTTGTACGTACTCTTATGTTTCGCAGTCTCCAACCTCTCAGCAGCGACGCAAAGGGGGCAGCGAGGCCCTTTTACCATAGCAGCTTTGTCCGCTTTGAGGCCCTGCACTTGCATGGGATCGCCTCCCCAAGTCCCTTTGTTGTCCAGGTGCTCCGTGTCGATGAATTGGAGGCACGTATAGCACAGCCGATACTGCCGGGGCATGGTGTCACGGATGCGAACAAGCATTTGCAGACGATGGATTCGAAGGGAGCGCTTAGGCACTTGATGGTCGTAGTCCTTCTTGTTCTTCTCCGCTTTCAATTCTTCGTACGACGCGGCTTGGATTTTGCATGTAAGAGCTAAGGAGGCGCGATCTGCGTTGAGTGGCAGCGCTTTGAAGATCATGGCTCGGACTTCCTGTGGAAGCTTGGTGAGATTGTGCTCCTGGTTTTGAATGGTCCCGGTCTTGTACACCTGGACCACAGTGAGTTTCCAGTGGTGATATTATTGGGTCGACAGTGCTAACCTTGGCAGGGATAGTGGTGTCTTTGAGACGTACGCGTAGCTTCTTGAGACGGTTGGCAATCTTCTTCTGTCTCCTGGCGGTCTCCATCGCTTTCTTGAACTCTTTGTACTCTTTCGCCAGAGTTGTTTCCGCTTCAGCAATCCTAGCACAAGTCAGTTCAAGCTGATTATGTCTCCAGGAAATATGTTGTCGCTCACACAACAGGTGTTGGCGTAACAACAGGCATAGCTGGCGGAGGACGGAGGTGATGAAGCCACTTTCCACTTTGAAAGGGCCAAAGTCATGTACAGTGATTGAAGACCGTTGTGTGAATCGTCAATGATCATGAGATATCACGTTGCGAAGTAGGGCAGATGAATCTGAGGATGAGCGTGAGTTGACACAGCGATGAGACAAAAAGGATGAGATCAAGGCAACCCTTTGCGCTCTCGCAACGGACGTCTGAGCATGAATCTCAGGATGGGCCTTATGGACTCGTTGCGCTTTCATGGGAAAATGCTCGAGGAGAATCCAGAGATCATTTACAATGACAGATTCCAGAGGAATATTTGACTGCTCATGGCATGTGCCTGCAAGCCGCATGGGCCAGGAGTCGAACACATGTGATATTTGCAGGAAGAACGGTTTACCGGAGACCTCTTATTTACTCGCGAGTCCAAACGTTCGTCTCTGCCGACCTCAGCAGTATGGCTTCATGGATTCAAACACGTGCGATGGCTATCAGTGTTCTTGGCGGCCTCCCACGAAGTCTTCAGCCATCCAGCCTTCTGGATTAGGGGTGTACAGCGCGAGATCGGTCGCGGACACTTTGTTCGAGGAGTGTGTTTGACTCCTGTTTCGCGTCCGGGATCCATCGACATTGATCAACCACTTTCCTCTCAACAAATATTTTACAAGACGTGGAAGGATGGAGTTTGCACTTTGCCAACCCAGCGAAAGGCTCATCGCAGCGACCGAGCAACAGAGTCTATAAATGGAACCTGGTGCATCCGTGGAATGGGTGTTTCGGAGGGTAAATGGCAGCAGCCTTCAGCCTCGCGATAAGTTCAGCCTCGCCAGGCTCGGACCCCAATGAGGACGAGGCCGGCTGCAATGACGTCAACGCTTTCTGATCAACTACTATGACACAATCAACCGAATTACCTATACCATCCAGTGGTACCGCTGGAAGATATCCTTTCCCGCGCCTCTTTGTCCTTATCAACCAGGTTAGATCTCGCAGGCTACACAGCAGACAACGTCCAATATAATATTAGCGGCACCTCATCTTTCTGATCGTCCCATTAGCATCAATATTCGTAACGCTCTGCAACTTGCCACCCTTTCGTAGACTCCTGTCAGAGAGGAGGTTCCCCTGCTTCAACTTCCTTGCCTTCCTGCATACTCCCTGAAACCTTCAAACTACCACGATGTCCGAACTCGACCCGCAGGCACCTTCTCAGCCAAGCCAACAGACTGGCTTGAACCAAGGCCTAAACCCTGCTTCAAAGACCTCCCAAGAACAAACTGCAGCACAGGACACATCCTCTACCCAGTCCAAGACTGTTGACCGCCGATCTGCCCATGATGTCCCTTCAGAACACGGCGAAGCCGCCAAACCAGGGGCTCTGGGTATTGGCGAGCGAGGGCCCCTCACAGAAAGACGAATTCCTGAGTCCGATGCGCAAAACTACTCAGAAGGCAACAGCAATTTAGAAGGCGAGCAAATGCGGATGCCAGGTGAAGGCAATGTCGCGAGAGCCGTGCGAAAGGGTGGTGGCGGAGGATATGGTGAGGAAGAGAGTCTGACCCAGAACATAGACAGGAAAGCGGCCGATCATGAGCGAGAGTTGCACAGGAGGGGGGAGCGGACTGGGAAAGAGATCGAGGAAGAAGAGCAGGAAGATTGGACGGGCAAAAAAGCAGATATTGCCAGTGCATTGGGCCAAGGAAGAGAAGGCCGTGACGAGGCGAGTCGGCCGGCGGTGGTTCTGGCTGCGGAAGAGTGAATGGAGGGAAAAGGATGTTATGACCTGCGAGCACCCGAGACTATGGTTGACGAGCAGCAACAACTATTGAAGTGTCCACAGGAAGGCCACAAAGGCTGGGCGCGTCTCGCTGTTCTTATCAGCCCTCATAAACATGGAATTTCTTCATTGGTCCCCCAATTCTCATTGCTCTCGCGCATCGTAACAGGGATGCCTTCTCTATTTGACCTCTCAATGAGACAATTCTCGGTCTGTAGCCCTCGATGCCGCGCTTGAAGCTCACGTCACCTTGGATGTCAGAAGGACCAGGGTAGACGGGACTCCCAGGTTCAGTCTTAGCGGCATGACCACGGCTCCAAATTCTGCGCAGCATGTGACAATGATACCTTTCCAGTAACGACGAAGAAAACATCCGATCTGCCCGAGACCCCAGACTTTCAGCTTTGTGATATGTGGGCTAAGACCTTTGTTCCCCGAACTCGGACACAATGGTGACAGCCACCCTTCTATGCTTCCGGCAAGAGAGCAACAACGCCCGAGTCCGGAAACAAAGAAAAGAGAGGTCAGCATCTCCGAGTAGTGACACGGGCTGTATGAGGAAACGACAGCACTTCAAACTCACGTTGAGCTCGAAGCGCAATTCGTTTGCGCGCCATGATGCTGGCCCCTTTCGCCACCAATGTCTTGAGATTGATTCGCTGCAAGAGCCTTTGAATATGGAAAAGAAGGCAGTCGACTGCAAAACACCCACAACTTCGCCCAGGAAGAGAGAATATGTGTTGGTACACATCCTATATCTTCCTGACTTGCGGGCACGTCACTCTTTCCAGCAGCCCCATCCCAAACTCCAAGTGCCCACAAGAACTATCGAAATTGAATCGACAACAGACGGAAGGAGCGCGATGCGAGAGACCCCGACCCCGGTTTGATGCAGAGCCTGCCCCGTCGAGCGATCCCACAGACTCGGCGACGTCCATGCGCTGTCCCGACAAGCTGACCCATCCACTGCGCACCTTCGGTATCAACACCCTCTGCCCACCTTGTCAGGATGAGCGAGATGCTCGAACGAATGCCTTTGAAGTGTACATGCGCGAAGATCTCGAGAGGCGCATTCTCACGCGATCTGCAGAACGAAACGAGACAGGCTCGGAGCTGGGCCGAAGAAGGCTATTCCGAGCGTCCACAACGCTTGCCATAATAATGGAGCACCATACTTCGGCAGGGTTGACAGCAGGGGTGATGGAGGCGGACGGCGTTGCCCAACCTCTGACGACGAGGCTGCCAACGGAAAGGCCGAGTCAGGTCGCGAACGGGCCGCTAGAAGTATGGGAACACCAACGGAGTGTCAAAGACGACATATCAAGCCAGCGACAATTCAGGGCGAAATCTCCTCAGCAGCCTGCGATTCGCGCTCGCCGTAGATCGCCACCAAGGTTGTCTTTCGCTGCGTTTTCAGCTACACCTGATACGATCAGTTTCGATCGAGGTTCAAGCCAGAGTCTGCCAAGATTATAAGTTGGAGGATGTTGTTGCAACTTCAGACTCGGTACCATCAACACTGGCGATCCACTTGGACCGGGGATTCACGAGCAGAAACCGTGGCGGGGGAATCACGGAATCGCGCTCGGGATTTGGGGCATTCCGGACAGCATATGTGCTCAATTTTTTCTCTTTGATGTAGATGGTGATATGCATGCCATAATCCGCCTCTGCAATGCCTGAGAGTCATAGATTTCCATCCATGTCCTTTGTATATTCGAAGGCGTAAGGCGGCGCAGCTTGGTCACCAGATGCAGCTAGCTGTACCTGAAGACTCTCGCAATTTCTCCAGCCGCTTTTGGGGGGTGGTGGCTGATCTTGGCACTAGCCGTAGCTTGAACCGAGCTCTACTGGCGGGCGTCTGTCGTTCTGTAGTCGACGTGCACAGAATCACATTGCGTTTTCCTCAGCTCCTCGTCCAAGGCTCCATAGGGTACCTCCTTTTGAACTGTGTCCGCTAGAAATTGGGGGCATTCAGTGTGCAAGGGGAACGGGCGCATGTCCTTTTGACGCTTCTTCATCCCGTCCTCCCTTGAACAATCCTGACCACACCTCACACCCTTTCAAGAAGCCCCGACTGAACGGTCACTATGCCTACGCCTGAGTCAGAGTTGTTTCTGCGCCAGAAACCAAAAGTCCCGCCGACATTCCAGGGCGTCGATTTTCAAGACAATGAAGCAGTCGCCGATGCAAGAGACGCAATCGTTCGAGAACAATGGGTTCAGAGGATGATGAGGAGATTGGTGGGAGAGGAGATGGGTATGTTACTTACTGTTCTTTCTGTATCATCGTCCGCGGGAGCTTGAATGCAGAGAGGGAGATGAAAATGCGCCAATAGGGTGTGGTCGTGGTCATGGAATCTCTTGGAGTGAGGGATACAGCCATGCAGGATATACTCCATTCCCCAGCACGCTCTTTCTAACCTAACCTAATGAACTGCTTTCATAGGCAAATGCTACGCGCGCGAAGGAGTCAACCATCTTGAGAAATGCGGAAAATACAGAGGTAAACTCCCTCAACCCCAGCTACCTGTCCCCGATCGACTTTCCATCGCATCTAACCCTTCAAAATTTCAAAGATCGCTACCTCCAGCTCCTCAAATCGACTCGCGAAGCCGGCTACCGTGGCCAGCAGCAGAACTACATCCCCGGCGTCGATGGTCCTGCAGGTGGACCAGAGATTCATACGGACTACCCGAGTGCACAAGAGGCGAAGGGATCCAGAGGGACAGATCACAGACCAGGCAATACGACCCGAAAGGGCGGCGATACACTGTACTAGGAAACAACAGAGCTCGACTACGTGATCGGGAGAGGAGACAGCCGCGGATCATCTGATCTACAACTTCTAGCCATGGGAAGGACTGTGTACATACAACATGGCGTGGTCCATTCGAGACCAATATCAAGAGAATCTGGAAATGTTCCTCGTGCTGTGTCCCGTGGTGTTATCTGGGTGGCTGAAGAAGCCATTGAGCTCCAAAATTCGGGGAGTCACTCTAGTGTAAAGGATGATCAGAAAATCAAGGCCACATGAGTATTCGTCCTTTCCCTCTGATACGATCCGTTGGAAGTTTAACCTCCTGGGTGCGAGCAGAGGGAACGGAGAAATGCTCCCTCGAACATTGATCCAGAGTCTCCATGGTCGTTTTCAGATTGTTGATATCTTGTTTACTCTGGGACACTTTTACCGGACAAAAGGCCAGTTAGAGAAGGTCAACCTATACACCTTTTTTGAGGCACTGGAAAATATCACCGCACCGGACAGAAGGTCCCTGCGTGAACGAAACCCAAGGAGCTATTGGATCTTTCTTCCATTCTCATTCGGACCCCACAACCAATGTCCCCATAACCAATGTCCCCATCACGTTATCAGATTTCAAAGCTTGCTTCTCTTGCCCGCCTTCTCCGCCGCAAAGGTTGCCAGGGCATCCATCAACGGCGGACTGAGCACGTCATATGGCTCCAATCCCAGCTCCCGCAAGCGCTTCCGCACATCGTCCATCTTCTCCGGGGGATAGCCCTGCTCAATCAAGCTCGACACGAACGCCGCGAACTGTGGCTCCTGCCAGCCCTTGTCGTCGCTCAGGTCGACGTGCACGAAGCTTAATCCCTTGAACGCATGGTCTTTTTCGACCGGCCCGTACATATGGACACCACAGTCCTTGCACGCATTGCGCAAGATGGTGGCGTTCTCGTCCAATACGGCGAGTTTATGTCCGTTCTTGGTCACGCGCACATTCTCGCTTGGGATGACTGCCACGACGGAGAACAGAGCACCATCGGGCTTCCAGCACTGAGAACAGCCGCAGACGTGATTGTGGAGGACGTTGCCTTTCAGCTCGACCTCGACTGGATCGGAAGCACAGTGACAACGCAGGGTGCCGCCGGGAAAGTTGTCTTTGCCCTTTGTGATGCCGTTATCGATGAGAGGATGCAGGGATGGTGCCATGGTGCTCATATAAAATCTCGGTTGGTGGTATAGAATTCAGCTGGTGACAGAAAGTAACGGCTGGGGAGTACACGCTTGCAGTAGCATCCGACAGGGTTCTCACCGCGCTTTATACCCTCAGCAGAGCATCGGGGACGTGCTCTTCACACTTCCGTAAACAAAGCCCCAGATCCTTGCTTTGGGAATCCCATTGGTGCCGTCTTATGCTGGCATCATATGAGGGGTAAATGAATGAATCGATCCGCCTCCTTCAGGCACCTCGCTCATCCGCTCCGTTTTGAGACAGACGACGCCCCTCAACTTCCACATGTGCAATCCGCATGTCCGATGGCAAGTGGGAATACCCTGGACACGCTCAGTCCTTGCTACGCAGGCTGGAAGCTCTGCTCCCACACTCGACCGGCAGTTGCGGGGATAGACCGAAATCCGCGTTTACGTTCGGGAAATGTCGTGTCAGACTCAGCAAGCGAGGTGGAGGTGAATGTCAATGGAGGAGTTCAGTCCTTACCATATCTTGACAGATCCGTAAGTAACCATCTTTTGGGGATGCATCGGTAGCTCTCGACCGGAGGAATCTGGCAGATGAGGTCAGAAAACTGCCGACTAGCGTCCAACGGCCAGATCGAAGAGAGGTCTGAAGAGGGAGGGAGTCGGCAAGGAGGGGGCGAGGAGGATGGAACTGCACTGTGTGGTCGGTTGATGCTCAGTAGACGAGAGTTCGGCAAAGTGCAACAAGCTGCGATGCATCAACTGGGCCATGTGAGCATCTGGGCATCTGGGCGCCTGGGCGCCCGCAGCACCAAGCCTTGCGAGCAAACTTTGTAGGACCAACAACAGCCTTTCACCAACTGTTACGTGTCATGTCGAGCCTCGTAGACACCGCCCACGGCCTCTGAGTCCAAATGACATGAATTCTCCTCGATCCGCCGAAGCGTGACCAAACATGCCCTTTCCGTTTGTGCTTTCCACCACCTCCCACATCTCCTTTCAAGCCAGCCTTATCTCATCCACCCACCCGTCCCTCCCATCCGCAACAACATCTCAACGGGCGGCTCTCCGGGCGGCTTTGAAGGCTCACAAGAGACTGTCAGCAGCAGACCAAGCCACCAATCTTTTGTCTCTAGCCTCCACGGCCCAAAGCTATATACGCTACCTCGTCACGCTCGACGTCGCTCTCTCTGGCAAACCTGTGGCTGGTGAGGTTGTTGACATTGCACTTGCCAAAGAGCCCGAGATCGAATGGCGGCCAACCCTCGGCGCCAATGCCATCCCAGGCCGTGAGAACGAGAGGGCCAAGGGCAAGGGGCTTGACTACGAGCTTTTCTTTGTGCATCATACACTGGCGCTCATTCAGAATCTACTCGCTCGACAGTCTCTCCTCGGGCTCTACTCTTCGGTTAATCCGACGTTAGAGCAACGGACATCACTGATCCAGGGTGCCTCTAAATGCCTCCAGACGGCACACGCGATCCATTCCTATCTTCTGCTGAGGGCAAACTCTTCTAGCGATGGGCCTCCCTCATTCCCGCCCAGTGCGGTGGATGTGTCGGCAAGTGTGCAGTTGGCTCTGCAGCACTTGACCCATGCCGAATTTAATTTGCTCTGTGTGTTGAAGGAAGACCCGTACCCCGCAATCCTCGTTCAGTCACGGAACAAGGACGATAAAGAGTGGATGATCAGAGCTCCACAGATCGCCAAGGTTCGGGGCCAGGTATTGACTCGGCTCTGCATCGGAGCTGCAGATCATGCTTCTGCTGCTATTGTAGCACTGAAGGTCGAGACCACAAAGGCATCGAGAGAGCTCCTGGAATACTGTGATGGTATCCACAGGGCATCACGAGCCAAAGCTTGCAGATTCCAGGCTCTAGAGGAGGATACACATGAAGGCCAAACAGGGAAAGCAATCGCGTGGCTCAGAGCGGCCATGAATGAGCTGGGAGTTGAAATGGGGAAGGATGGTGCCAAGGCTTCGGGTCTGGGCAAACTGAAGGCGTCTTGGATTGAACGAAGAGAAGACAAACGGATCGAAAAAGGCAGCACCACGTGGGGGATGGACGGCGGTAAGCTCGAGGAAGGTCGAATCGTCGAATACCTGGATCAGAAGTTCAACAAACAAAACGATACTATCAACGTTCAGCTGATCCCGGAGTGGAAACTGTTGCTGGCCCTATTGCCCAGCGGGATGAACATGCCGGTAGCTGAGAAATGGAAGCCGGCACCGTTGGAGGAAACAGAGTTGGCGGCAATGAGGGCACCGCCAGACCACGACGAACTGGGCGCCACAAACAGCTCAGATGAGAACGAAGATAGCATGGCGGTACCAGCAGGAGCTTTCCCTGGTACGCAACGCGATTATGGTAGTGGGACGAGTTATTATTGAAGCGGATAGATTCTCCAGACAGGGAAGGCTGGCACGAGACAGAACTGCACCAACGGCGTGATCAGCAAATGATAGTTCTCTTTTCGACGTCTGGAGTAATTACGCTGGCGATATGCTCTGCTGTCCACTGGACCATGTGCAATGGGCAGGAAACATCAAGACCTGACGCAGGTTTGCATGTTCATAATGTACCTAGTATGTAGGAGGTCAGGTTGCCAGCCTCGCCAGCCTCGCCAGCCTCGGCCTTGCCCCTGACTTGCCAACACCCAACCTCCACGCACCCCTTTCTGTGTTTCAGCATCGTTTCACCCTCTGTTCCCACCACCAATCATCCTCCCAAGCAACTGACTCACAGTCACCCTCCCAGTTCACCCCGAATTCGTAGCTCGTTGCAGTCAGCCACCAGCATCTCCCTGTGGCCTGCCCGGCGACCAGCCAAACGCGCTGAGCCTGCAAAATCCCCGGCACCAGGCGCGGGGATCTTGCACAGAATCTTGCGTGTATGCGAGTCTATGGTTGGATATGGGCGCCTCTGCGGGAGACCGTTCGGCTGCGCCTGTACAACGGTTCGGGAGATGGCGTGATGAGGTCGTGACCACTGGCCCTCGTCTCTACGCGCTGGTCGTCGTGGTGCTGATGATGATGCAGATGGCGGCGTCCGGGTGACGGCTATGGTGAGTGACTTCGTCCTTGTCCCCTGTCAAGGAGAGCTCCGCGAGATACAAGGTAAAGGAGATGCATCTATTTCTCCTCGCAACTGCATATATCAACGCGCCGTCAGTGTCGCGGAACTGCTCTTGACGGCTTTGGCTCAAGTGGGTGTAATTGTCTTCGACCTGGGCAGGACACATAGCAAGAAGAACGATGATGATCCCGCTATTTCTCTTCGGCATCATGACCGCAATCCTCGCTCATATAAGATCAATCTCGGCGTTGCCCTTGCCAGACCCAATATTACCGAAAATCACCATCAGGCATGACTTCTCATCACAAGCGCCCAGCGAGACTGGCCTGGCGATCAAAGGACATTTCGTGAGAGCCACAGGAACTCACGGCAAACGACAACCAGCGTCGCCGTCAGAGGACATCAAGATAGCACCACCCTCGACTCCCAATATGCGAAGGCCAACTCAAGACATTCAATCCCAACCGTTCCACAAGAGAGGCAAAGGGCGCCGTCCCAGGGCGAGATTTCACCCTCTCGACACGGATAATAGCACGAGCGCCAGCAGCCCCCAAATATCACAGGTCCCATCTCTGTCTCCTATGCTGTCAAATTCGACCGGCAGCCTCAACTTCAGCTCCCCGAGCTCGCAGGAATCCTCCGTGGATGGTTCTAGCGGCATGCTGACTTTCGCGGTCACCGGGACTGCCACCGCACTGTCAACCGCGACATCCCCACCGGGTATTATCACAGACACATCGCCGCCCCTCGTACCGGCAAACTCGACCCTGCTGGCTGCCTGGATTCGGACCCTACCTCCAACCACGGCGCTATCTACACTTGTCCCGCCTGTTCCTGAGCCTCGGCCGAATCTGGTCACGCAATCATGGTTCTCCGGCACGACACCAACGCCTATAACGAGCCAGAGTGCGGCTGGAACTTCGGTCCCCAGCCAAAGCGGGAACGCCAGCTGCCCCTTTCAAGCATCCGGGATTGCCCCGACTCCGGATGCGGACACGACACCCGATCCGAGTTTCCCAGTGATCGTGACGGTCTTCCCTGTCTCGACGAGTTCTTCTGCCGTGGTGTGAACGAGCCTTCGGATGAGATCGATGTTTCTTGCCAGCCCGTCTTGTGAGGCGGCCAACATACCGACGGCGGCATATGAGCTACGGCAGGCTGGGACTACATTAAAGATGGCCTTGTGGCGGCCTCCTCGCAGGGCACGCACGATCAAGCAGGACATAGATCAAGGCCGCCTGTCTTTTCTTATTTCGTTGGTTATTGAGGGAGTCTTCCTGCCAATGTTTGTGGACTACAGCACAACCAAAGTCAGTGCTTGATCGGGCTTGAAGCCTCTACGAACTTGATGATCCAATTCCCTCGTTCGATCCAGAGCGACTAGGCATGTCCTTCCACTGGAGAAGAGTAGAGGATGATAATTGTCTTGAGGGCAGCCGGTTAGAATGGTTTAGATAGACAAGTTTGGTCACTGCAAAATGCCGTCACTACAATCCCAGAGTATATACAGTGGCCATATGCTCCCCCCTTCCCTCAAGACAAGGCACATGACCATTTCCCTCCAACCCCTTGTCCAATGCTCGATATGAGGTCTTCGTAACAGTGGTGGTATGATCAATTTACAGGCCAGTCCCTCTGCACTGGGGGTGCCCAAAGTCTGAGCTGGATACATAGATACATAAACACGTGAGAGTCTATGAAACTCGCGTCGAGGGGAGACTCTTCTTGCCGCAGAGGAGAAGAGGATCGATCCGTCAACAATGCTTGCTCCTTGTCGAAGCAGCCACAGTAATCCACACGATTTGTTGCAGGTCCTTACTTCTTCCACGCACTCCTGCACTACAACACCTCCCCAACAATCTTCGCGGCCTCCTTATATGTTGCCAGCAGCTTCTCGCACTTTTCCCTCTCCTTCTTGATCCCATCATCCTCGTACAGTAGCTCGCCAAATAGATCCTCCTTGTACAGCTCGCTGACCAGACGATTTTGCACTTCATCCCTCGAATGGTTTACGAGTAAGTGCATAATGGCTTTCGGCACTTGATCGGCAATGGTTTCGCGGACAATATTGAAATAGCTGGAGATGAGACGGCGAATGAGCTCGGTTTCCAAGGCCTCGCGTTCCGTCAGAGCAGGTTCTGCATTTTGTTCAGGCTATAAAATATCCATATTAGCAAATGACATGAAAAGACGCAGACAAGGTTCACGTACGAATAGTAAGCTCGAATCGCCATATTCGGACCCGGGTGCATAATCGTCATGCAGCGCCGGCGGGTACACTGGCGATCGATCTGTAAAGCTTCCACGGTCCATTCGACGCATGCTCTGGGCGAAGCTCGGGTCGACGCTGTGGCTGACATGTCTTTGCGCCACGGAGGCAGACGATGGAACAACAGCAGGGCTGCCCTGTAGCGAGGCACCTGGTAGCCCGCCTTCCTTTCCAAAGAAGTAATTGAGGAATGAGTCCCTGGCTGCGCCTGCTGACCCTGCAGCCGCGGAGATGCTGCCTATGCCGTTCTCGCGCTCGCGAGTCACAGCGGGTGACATGCTGCGGCTCAGGGTCGGGTGTTTCCGGTTTGGCAACGAGGTAGGCTTGTCTTCTTGTTCAGCGTCTTCTTCATCTGGTGTGGCGGCGCCATTAACGCCTAACTGCTTCATGCGCTGCTTCTCACGTTTTCGTCTCTCTTCGGCTTGTGCTAGTTTCTTGTCCTTCTCGTTCTTGCTTGCAATGACAGAAGACATGGCTGCGGCTGCTCCAAGGAAATTCGGATGGTTTGTGTTGATGTACGCGCGTTGGATGGCGATCAGTGACTCAACGTAATTTGAACAGGGACCGAGTCGCTCTCGCAACAGGTCCGAGACGACCTCGATAAGCTTGCCCTGTAACCTGGGAAATCTGGACAGCTCTGTAGATCCGCATGTATGGCATATTTTGATCAGCTCCTCATAGACTAATTCCACGCACCGCTGACTGGGAATTTCCAGCAGCTTGATTTGTGGTTTCACGAGCAGGTCAAAGGCAAGCTCGGGAACAAAAAGACTTGGTCGCGGCCCGGTGGAGTTTCGAATGGCGGTTCGGATATCGAGAACAGACAGGTTGTGCGTGGGATCGATAGTTTCTAGAGAGTTGCCAAATACTGAGTTGAAGATATAGTAAATCCTGGCACCACCACAAAGCTCTTTTGTGGATATTTCTGAAGATGTGCCGTCGATAGAAGAGATGAAAGACGTCGCGAAGCGCGTCATGAGTTGAAGGATCAATGATCCGCGATGCTCCTTGCCGCTGAACTGCTTGCTCCCATAAGAGGCCAGCTCTTGCTGTGTCTGGCCCATCAAAGTGTTCAACCGCGCCTTGATGTCTGGTAATCGATCGCGGATGTGGCCCATGAGAGTCGTGTTCAATGTTTTTGCTAGGTATTGTGTTCCACATCTTGTGGCCATATTCCGATAGGCGGGATGGTGTCTGAAAAATTCCGCCTCTGATCTGAGAGCTTCGGACATGGGTTTGTTGGTTTGGATATCTTGTTGCGATCGGTTGACAACGCCAATGAATCCAAGCTTCAGCGGATAGACGCGACCAGACAGGATATCCAAGGCGTTTGTGCCATGATCCATCAAATCCAATTTTGTCAGGACACCAATGGTCCTTCTTCCCATGGGGTCAACATGCCGAGCGAGCTTCAGGGCTTCTGAGTTGACAATATCGACGTTGGCAGGAGAAACGGCGAGGATGATGCTGTTGGGTTTGGCAATGTATTCGGATATGAGGGTTCTTGTCTGCTTCTCAATGTCCGAGGGCTGGTCGCCTATAGGGACTTTAGTCAACCCAGGCAGATCGACCAAGGTGAGATTGAGGACATGTGGAGAAAAGATCTTGAGGTTAATGGGCTGTCTGTTGATGCCCTTGTTGTTGCCCGCTATCCTCGCCGTCTCGTTTTCGATCTCGGCGCGGACTTGGTTGAAATCAGTGAACTTGCGACCAGGGATATGGTGAAACTCTGCCCACTCCCCGTGTTCTGCCACGCTGGCTGCCGTATGGGGAACGTGCACATCGCCATTGCCGTTGGTATCTGAGTCATCATCTTCTGGAGGGATGTTGATGAGCTGCAATATCAGCGGCCGACGAGTTACAATGCCACTTCCACGGGGAAGAAAATCCCGGCCCACAATGTTTTCCAGCACAGAGGATTTCCCCGAGGACTGCGAACCGACCACGACTATCTGGGGGAGATCGAGGGAGTCATTGCCGATAGTGTTGAAGACGAGGTCTTGGAGCTTGTTGACTGTGCGGAGGAGGTCATCGCCGAGGGTTGTCATTGTCGATGACCGTGTCGCAAGTGGTTAGGAGAGGTGTTTCAGAGGAGAGACGTAGGTTGTAAGTAAAAACAGATGGTTGCCCTGGGTGGTGACCAAGCGACAGGCTGTAACAGAGAAGGCAGCAAGGTGACAGAGGGAGAGAGTGTGGTGAGGCTTTGGGTCAGATGGCCACCAACAGGCACATGTTTACTGCTGGCGTATATTGGGGGAGGAGGATACAGAGCACAACTTTGCAGATGCAGCGAGGAACGCGGCGAAAGCGGGTCGCAGGCGCAGGCGCAGGCGTAGGAGATGCGAGGATGGCATTTCTGCTGGGGCCTCCAGAGAAAGCAGGTTTCGCGGAGGACGTGAGGGATACTATATGTAATGACAGCAGGACCTGAGGCTGTTGATTGAGGGAAATTGTATATGGACCTCACTAAATAGCTTGTCAGACTTAAAAGATTATATGGTGCCTGCGCTGCTTGGGCTCTGACGTCGTGCCCTGACAGACCCTGGTCCGAGAACCTGTTCGGTGGCTGCAGGTGGCTGAAGACGGCCTTGCAATCATCTCTACTGTATGGGCAGGAAAGTATCTAGTCGAAGCAACGCAAGAGGCGGGGTCAATATTACGACATGCACCATGACAACAAGGTCATTCACTCTGGATGAAGCTCTACAGGGCTCGGAACACAACCCCATTAACTCAGGTTGTTCCCAATATCCCAACACCTCGCTATTGTCGTCGCTATCGCCGTCACCACCGATACAGCCATGCGTGCCACATCTAGCTTCACGATAGCCATTACCGGCCTTCTGTTGGCAAACCAAGGTTCAACATACCCGATCGACAACGACGTCCAACTTCCCTTCAACGAGGGAGAACTTCAGCAGCCTTTCTCCGATGGCTCGTATTCCTTCTTTTCGACCATTAGAGACGTCCTAGTTGATCACGAAATCATCGGCGACGTCCTTGACGACTTTGAACCCTCCTACTACCTCGACATCAGCTACCCGAATTCCCACGAGACTGTCCTCTTGGGAAACGACATCCCCGTCGACTCAGTATCGAACCGACCCGTCTTCACCTTCCACTCCATAAATTCTCCATCCAACACGGACGGAGGCAAGAAGTCTACCTTCACCCTCGTCTTGACGGATCCTGATGCCAAGTCTCGCGACAATCCAAAGTGGTCTGAAATGTGTCACTGGATCCTCACCAACTTGACCACCCCGATCCCAGTGCCTCCCGCGGTGTTCCAGGTCATGAAAGCCAAACCCGGTGAGCTCGAGGAATATCTTTCGCCGGGTCCACCCCCAAAAACGGGCGCGCATCGATATGTTTTCGTCTTGTTGGAAGGCGAAACTTCGACCCTGAAGGCGCCAGCCGACAGAAAGCACTGGGGCTATGGCAAGCCCAGACACGGGGTGCGGAACTGGGCAAAGGAAAACGATTTGACTGTTGTGGGCGCGAACTTCTTCTATGCTCAAAATGAGGAGCAATAGTGGAAATGGGCCTGGTTTCCAGAAACCAACAATTTCTTCATGTCCGAGCTTCCTTAAAAAGCCGTATCGCTGCAAAACCTCTCCACACCTCGTCCATAGCGTCCTTTCCCTGCTTCAAGTGCTTCTCAGCTGCCCCCAAGGAAGCCACATCGGCCGCCTCGGCTGCAAACATCCACGCTTCAAGTCGTGTCGACACTTCGTCCTGCGTCTCCGTTCCAGTATCCTTATTTTGCTTGTCGCCAAAAGTGGATCTAGCGTGCACGAAGCGTCCGGAGCCAGCAAGGAGCGGAAAGGCTTGGAGGAGCTGGCTTTCATCGCTGTGTCTGTCAAGCATGTTGATTGTAGTGGCGGATTCTTTGCGCAGCTGTTCGTCCATCAGCGTGAGGTGGGAGGACGACATTCTCTGTTGCTGTAGAGATGGGAGTAAACATTTTTCCACCGTATTTGTAAGATCAGTGGCTCGAGGCTTTAATGGTTGCTCCACTGACTTGTTGCCTCCTGGGCTTTGCGACTCTTTCTCGGGTAGAGGTGATCTCAAATCGGTGGCAGCAGAGAGGAGCCGTCTCCGCGCCTCGACATACTGATCGTATTGAATGCCAATCTGCTTGTCCCAGTCTTCCCCATCCAGAAGCGTGCCGTCTACGGCCTGATCGTTCAGGGCATCAGGACCTTCTTGACATCTGTCCAGGGACTCTTGCAGCCAAGTAGTCAGGATCTGTCTCACCACAGACATTGCAGCAAGATGCCGCTCAGCAGGTGCCTTTCCTGGCTCTGCAGTGCTGGATTTAGCACCGTCTAACAGCGCCCTCTGTTGCGTGGCTTCGTGTCTAGCATGAACCACGGCCACCTCGAGAGCTTGGATGGACTGCGTGATCGACCTCGCAGGTTCCCCCTGCCCATTCTCGGAAGAAAAAGTAGCGGGCGCGGGTTCGACGGTGGAGGTCCCCAGTTGGACGGATGCAACACTGGACGACGACGATAGGATGGCGTCCATTTCATCTTGTAGAATTGTCAATTGGGCATTCGTCTTTCTCAGCCGTAATAGGTCAAGGTGCTGATCAAGGAATGGCGCCTTGTCGGCTGCGGGTTGGGTCGATAAATTCGTCTCATGGGCCTGCAAAGAGGCAGAACCAGCAGCGTCCGCGTAACGGCGCCTTGCTGCGGCATTCGCTCGAACAGCTTCGAGATACTCGGCCTTCAGGTTGTCATCGAGTTGCTGTTGGTTTTGTTCGTCACTTGCTGCATCGGCGCGGAAGAGATGTTTCCGAATGTCTTCTTCCTCGTGTGTGAGATGGTTATATTGATCAAATGCCGTAGCGATTTCCTGGAGCAGTGCGGTATCATCCAGCTTCTTTTCCGTCATGACCATGAAGTAAACTGGCGAGGCGATGTCCAAACAAGTGGCTTTATCTGAATAGAAAAAGGTCTGTGGTGTGTTATTATTACTCCGACTTATTAGCCCCGAAAGCAATTCTCATTGATAACAGTATTTAGTGTACCCTCAGACATGATAATATCCCTATCCTCATTGACAATTTAGCTACATCCTGAGATGGCGTCTATTCGGTGCTAGACTATGCCAATGATTTCTGAAGAAGTCTTGATGTACACATATCTAGAGATGACCTATCAATGGACAGGCCATGATATCCTGAAAAGGACTCTCAAGGCACGTACCGTCCAAGATCGAGAGTCTTCTCGTCTAGAGAGCTTATCATGAACCATGAAATGTTACGATAATAGCCGAGGAAGGCCAGACTATAGAACATGCAGAATTCGTTGGATTGCACCCAGATGGACTGCCTATAGGCTTTCGGACAGCAAGCAAATCTGGGTCTTCACGAGTGCTCGCTCTTGCAACTCCGAATTCCGAGTAGAGACACTGTGAGATCAATCGAAGCACAGACAACAATGTCTCACGATGTCCTAACTCCTCGTGTGCTGTGGGAGGAGTATAGGTCCTGATCAGGTCTTCGAGAGCTTTGAGAACAGCATCGTCCCAGCTGCGGCGACACACCCAGTCGAGTCAGGAGCCAAGTGGGATAAAGGACTTGATCTTGCCCGAGGCTCTGTTCTCCCCCGTGGACGAGGATCGCGCGTCTCGGTCCTCTTCGGCTTGAACTGGCGCTCTGGCAACGATCAGAGGAAGGTGGAATCTCGTAGCAAGGCTTGTCGACGCCGCTCTCAGCTTCGATATCCCCAATTGAGAAAGGAGTCTTGGATATGCAGCGAGAGAATACCTTCAAATTCAACTCCTCAAGGACGACTCCCTCGCTTCCGATGAGTGGGTACATGATGCAAAATAAGGCAGTTCATTTCTAGTATCCGGTGTTGGTGTCGCATTCGAAGGAACCCGGTATCCCCTCTAAAGCGGAGTGGATGTCCGGACATTGTTTGATCTGGCACTGGACGGTTTGTGATGACCAACGCTCCCGGCAAAGATTCATCCCTCACATCTCCACGATTGTGTTATGCAGCATTCATACGCTGGTCCAGCTGCGGCGTGTCGTTCAATCTTTTTTCCCCGTGTGTCTCTTTGCTTCCGTGAGCCGTCGCATGAGTTCCCGACAGTCGTCGCCCTCCTTTCCCTCGATCTCAATCGCTCTCTCCAGCCATTCAACAGCATCTTGCCATCGTCCCATTTCCATCAGGCATCTTCCTCCGACAATATACGCTTTCGCATTGCCCGGGACCCTTTCTCCATTCGGACCGGTGCCAGGGCCTCGTTTGCATTCAATACTGCACTCGGCATCTTTCAGACCTTCCACCCAGTTTTGCAGGTCAGCATTGGCCGCGCCACGAGAGAGATACATCAAAGCGAGTTCTTCTCTAGCCAGTCCCATAGGCTCCCATCCTGGCCGTGCAGCGGCCATATCTATGCCAACTCCGAGGAGGCGGACCGCGTCCGCATGCTGGCCTTTGCGCGAGGCTGCCACCGCCGACTCTCGCAATTTCTGGATCTGGCCGGATCGTTTGGGGTTGACTGGCAGAGGAGGAGGTGGGATGTTATTCGGGGTGTCAAGTGACTTGAAGGACGTGTGGAGCTTATTGATATTAGAGATGGCATCTTGCAACGTCTTGTCGGAGGAAAGGATGGAGATTTGTTTCGTCTGGGGATCGATGTGGAGGGGGAGGTGAGTATAAGTCTCCAAAGCGTCGTCGGTCGAAGCCATGGTGATTTTTTCACTGGCAGCAATCAGTGCACAAGAGCATAAGTTGAGCAGATGGAAATATGCGGTCAATAGGGAATCGGGATAAGAGCGAAAGAATTGAAGTCGAAGATTGGGAGACTCGCCCAGTCAACATGTCGAAGTGTCTTCATTACTGCGAGTCTTGGCGGAGAAAGCGGTGGCATGTCTAGATACATCCAGCCTCTCTATTGACCCTCACCCCGGCATGGCCACTTTTGTAGACTACTATTCACCCCCTGCCCTCACTCTCGGCTTCGTCCTATTTATCCTTCTCCCCTACTTTCTATAAGCACGCCTCACTATACCCCTTGTGTGAGGGCTAGCTGAATATGCCCTTTCACACCCTTGGCTGTCCCAGTGAATAGATTACGCGCCTAGATTCACTACCGGAAGCGGATTTGCTATTGGATTGCACGACGAAAACAACCGGCGGTCACGATTGCCATGCAACCATATGGTCATGGTAGTGCGCATCAGAACAAATCCTGGGGGATGATTAAGGCTACGGCTCGATGTACTCGGTCCTCGCCCGAGGTTCACCAACAATGGCCACCAGCTCGCGGGGACGGGCTCACCAACTCTCGCTAAGCAACAGTTACATAAACGGCCACGTCACTGATCTTTCCCTTTCGAGGCCGACTGATAAGCGAGACAGATTCGACCTATTCTGCCACATCAGCAAAAGAGACCTGAACAAAGACCTCATGTAATTATATCCGATTTAAGGCTGGATCAGACATGTTGACGTCTCGCACTGACCAATGTTGAATTCTGAACTAGGACCTCATTCAATTACTCCCGGAAAGCGTCGTAGGGAAAGAGTTGTCCATGCCAGGTCATTGTGAGGTCTTTTATGCACATCTCGGATCATCGGCATGGTCTGCGATGCTTGTCTAGGCCCGGTCCACAAAATCACAAGCTTCGCTCTCGCTCATGACGAAGAAGGCGATTTTTCGGCATCAGATGTCAAGAAAGACAACGCTCCCAGCCGGGAAGACCTGAAAGATGAATCTAGCCCGGAAGAATTCGAGCGCTCCCTCACGCTGGGATGTTTTCCTTGCAATGAGCTTGGTGAAGAGGTTGGTGAAAGAGACGATGACGCTTTGATAAAGAGACGTGTCACAGGGGTAGACGATGACGACCACATCAAATTGTCGCTCACTTATCATCGCAGTTAGTAAACAGTACTCAGTCGACCCTTTCTCCGCATAGCGCTGATCAAAATGTCAGACACTGATTTTGATGTTCCGGAAACCGTGACCTGCCGATTCACAGTGGATCTCTCAAGGTTCGTCATGATAGAATCCCTGGGGTGCCATTCACGAAAGGGCTAACGAAAGGAGTAGTGATACCCACCGCAAGAACGAGCTTGCCGAGTACACCGGTGATGCTCATGTTCTCGATTTAGGTCTTGAATGGCTGCGAGACTGCAGGGCAAACCATAGGCAGTGCGGTAACTTTGGGAAATTCTCAGATTGGCGTCCCCCGCGGCTTGTAGAGATCGACCCTCTGAGCCTTGGTGTTGGATTCTGGAGAGCGGCCAAAGTCTCAGATATTGATCTTGTTGAGCCGTATGTTACACTCAGTCACCGATGTGTCCTCGAAACACCCAAACTCGTCCAGGATACACAGCGGGAGATGGAAGCCGGCATGCCAATATCATCGTTGTCCAAGACTTACGTTGATGCAATGACGGTAGCAAGACACCTTGGCGTGCGGTACATTTGGATTGACTCCCTCTGTAACACAAATATGACCTTTTCATTTCGTGGCTAGTACTAATCTGGCTGCAGGTATCTTTCAAGACGAGGGTATAAACATTCGTGAAGCGGCAATGAAGGTGGCTGAGGTTTATTCCAACGCCTTGCTGAATATTTCCGCCTTGACCGCCTCATCTGAGGGCATTTTCCGAAGGCGATCATCATCCTTTACCCGCTCCTGTGCGGTGGAGCGCCCAGGTCGTGGCGACTATCTGTAGTATCAAGTGTTTGACGAGACGGTTTGGCCGAAGGCAGTAGATGAATCACCACTGGCGCAGCGCGGATGGATTCTCCAAGAGCAGTTGCTTCCCATTCGCACACTTTATTTCGGAGAGCAGCAGATTTTGTGGGAGTGTGACCTTGGTCGCCGGTCCGAGTCGTACCCCGAGCTTGGCTTGATAGATGAGTATCAAGCTTCTCCCAATGAACCCTTGCCTCATGAGAACAGCTTGATAAACTTCAGGATTTACATCAGGAATACGAGACAGGAAATTATGGAGCATTCCAAGCCTGGCCACCGTGATGAGGATCTGCCACGCCTTTCTACCACTTCTCAAGTCCCGGACAAAACTGTGACGGATTCTGGCAGGGCGCAACATGTCACTTGGGGCAGCTATCAACGGTTCGACGCCTGGGGGCGCCTTGTCACCGATTACACAAGACGAGAGTTGACTTACGAGTCGGACAAGCTGCTGGCGATCGAGGGTTTAAAAAATCTAGTGAACGTGGCCACTCGGGATCAGGAGCTCGCAGGCTTGTGGCGCTCACACATGCCAAGAGCCCTGCTCTGGAGGCGCCCGTTCAAAACACGTTTCTTTGATTCTAAACGAAACGGATGTCTCTGTCCGTCCTGGTCATGGGCTTCGGTGGCCGGCCCTATCGCTTTTTCTGACTCGTCGGAGAACACAGGCTTTGAAGACGAATGCGTACAGATTGTTGCACGCATTGTCAAATACCCTGGCCAAACCACCCGTACTCCCAAAGGCATTGATACCACCAATACTGCTTTGCGGATCCAGGCACCTCTGCTGGAAATTGGCGCTTCTGACGAGGGGATAAGACATTTCTTACCGGTGGATGGGTCCGAAAGAATGGATTCACGACCCACCCAAGGTAAGGTGTATTTTACCCATGACTATAGTGATGCGCTTGACCGCATCGACAGTGGCGACAGCACAGCGCACAAAGCTAAGCCGGAGCGCTTACGAGCTGCCATCATCCAGACTCGCCCGTCAAAACTGGGAACAAGCTTCGGCATCGAGGGATTGGTGCTTATTCGAGCCGAAGGATTTTCCGAGAACGACCACCTGCCACTGTATGAACGAATCGGCTACTTCATGGGAAGAGAATGGGCGACTTCCCCTGAATCCTGGGAGAGTGTAGAAGGAAGTGCATGGCCCAGGTGGCTCCCGAAATTTTGGAAGATCTTTGACTTGCCGCAGGGTGTCGGTGAGGGAGAGCATGGAGAAGACAGTGGAAGTTCCTTTTCTGACGCTGGGTTTGACTTTGGTGGAGCCACTTATCTGACGACCTTCGAGCTCGTCTAGAAACGGAATCATATGCGAAAGACTGAACATTGTTTGCCCTTCATTTTTAGAGAACCGAACCCGACAAAGGTCAAATGAGTGAGGACTCTTGGACCCTACGATCGGTGAGACACGGGTGCTCGCTCCCCCGATTCAAAAGGGGGAAAATGACGACTCGAGCGCACCCTGCGTTAATATTGCCGGATTTTTGATTGCCTGTAGCACTTATTGACTATCGCTGGCAATGGTGTAGATTTCTTTGATTCGTATTTGGAACTTCTTTGGCTCAATTGATATGTCACCAGCCCAATCAAGCTTGCGGATGGTGGTCTCTATCCGAAGTGCTCAAATCGATGGAAGGCAGTGAATGGGTCGTATTGAGCAGTCCGTCAATCTCCAGACACTCGCTTTCCCACGAGTCCGTGGTCCCAAAATCCTCCAGCCAAGACCACACGTCCTCAGCCGATTCCTCCTGCCACCACTGTTGATCCGTATATAATGAAACGGACTCCGGATCCGTGGGTAATAGTGCGTTGACTGGGGCTTCAGCCTGGAGCCCGTTGTCGGTATTTCGGGACTTGGCCGCACAGCTTCTGGTGGCGTCGAGCAGTTGCGTCCTCAGCCTCTGAGTCAGAATCCAAGCTCTCTTCGCCACAGCATGTCGCTTTTCGCCCAGCTCGAACAGCAACGACGCCCGCTCCAGCTTTTCAAGTGCGAGCGAGCAGGGCAACAGCGACGGGCAGGCCATTGTCAAGGCAAAGATGCTCAACAGGGCGTTCCACTCCAAGACGTACAGCTCAAAACAGCCGTACAGAGCATCCGACGATCGCAGGCCGTCATGAATGATGTCGATGATTGCCATGGCGTGATCTGCTCCCTTTTTGGCCAACAAAGATACTTGCCCCAAATTCCGAGGAAGCTGTGGTGGCTGTGACTCGGAGAGGAAGACGGTGACGAAGGGCTGAAAGAATCTTCTTATGGCGTCATGATAATATAACGACAGTAGTGTAGATTGCCTCTCCCAGCCAACAGTCCTCAGCCGCGGACGGGTGATCTCGTCCTGCGCCGTGTTGAGTCGCAGATAGAAGGGTTCGTTGTCGTGGCAGGTGTCTTGTTTCCATTGCTCAAGGGGACGCAGGGTCTTCTCCAAGCTTTCCGCGTCCAGCGAGACAATCACATTGCCACCACGTGGCGTGGCCGGTGAGTTTCGCATCAAAGTGTCAAGCGCCGACAATATTGCAGCGGTGAGCCTGGCGCGAGAGATGTGATATTGGGTGGTTGCCAACGTCGCCGACGGCGGTTTAGAGGGAGGTAAGCCAGGCCAGTGGACAGCGAGCGGCCTCCCGAGCTCCAGCGAACATCGGAGATCCAAGTGAATGAGGAACCACCACGTCCGGCTCACCCAGTCTCCCACCGGTGGCTCCTCATCGTCGACCTCGCGCTCCACGTGTATGTCAAGCAAGTACCCCAGTCGTATCGCCACACCGAGCATGGTGTACGCCGTCTCGTACTGGCCAGCATTGAGTAAGTAGGCCGTCATGAAAGCATATGTCTGCACTTTGGTCAGGGAAGGCTCGCTGACATCCTGCTCAAGTGTCTTGCGGCATCGCCGAAGGTAGCAGAAGGACGCGAGGCCGACGTCCCCATGGTACATGCACCTCAAGTGCCTTGTGCCCACCGTCCGCCCCATCAAATCTGCGCTCTGAGCGTGCTGTGAAGCCAAGGCTGTGAGCGCATCCACGAGCGGCGGTGAAGATCTTGCCTGTCCATCCTTGGACCAGAGACACTCATACTGCGCTCTAAATGAAATCGGATCCAGGATGGGTATCTCAATCTCGAACGTGGGCCAGTAGAGGTCCAACAAGCAGTCCGTCTCTTCTTTGGACAAAAGAGTCACGGGCGGGGCGTCCGACTCCAGAGAGCTTGTGTGATACACTGATATAGGCGTGTCGTACTCGATGAACAATGGATCTCGGGGAATCTGATGGATTGCCTTGGATGCGGATTCAAGGAATGACGTTAAGATGGTAGAAAGCTGCCTCGTGCGAGTCCACCTTGGAGCTGCCGAACAAGGCAGAGCCACTCTGTCGGGAGCTGTATCAACATTCGGAGTGTCTCTTTGTAAGAGGTCTGGGGAGGAGATCGTCCGAACTGCTTGGCTGCCGCCAGTCTGGTCGGCCACTACAGGTGACAGACTTCCCTTAGAGGCCGCCCGCTTGCACCGAGCATTGACCGCGATGCACTGATGGCATGGCGTTCGATTGCCGCAGCGAATCCGATAGTCGCGACAACGTTCACATGCAACGCTCACCTTGGGGCGCTGCTTAGTTTGGGGCTTTGTCCGCTGGGGATGCTTGATGCAACCATCGGTTCTGGGAGTGGCGAAGGTGTAGAACATCGCCAGCGGCGTAAGATCGACGTCGATCACGTCACTCCTTGCTCTTCCGGGAGTGATTGAAGTTGAGTAAATAGTCGAGGGAAGTGGAAGAAAATTACGGCAAGGGGATCTGGCAGATTTAATCGAGTAAGGAGGGAGCAAAGAGTCCGCCGCCCCTAGCTCAGCACGGGCACAGGAAGAGAACTGCTTTAATAATCTTGACCGGACAGCCGTTATAGCCGCCAATTAAGCGCTAGCATGGTATTGATAAACTCGGCTACGTCACCTGGGATCGTCGTTTGAGGAGAGAATGTTAGTGGGCGAAATTAGATCGCTAGGGCATAATTACTACTTAGATATAGACAACAGAGCACCATCCATCACCGAAAATGGTGGGACGGGAATTTATCAAGAGCATTTATTCAAGACTGTATGTCTATTTCATTTTTGAGCCGCACCATCTGACCGCGTTACAAATTGACTGGCTCTCAGGATATTTGCCCAACACACCCCGAGCGATCGGAATCACTTTACATTTATGGCCGAAAGCCCAGGCTGCCGGTCAAAGAACTCTAGAGTCCCTGGGGAAACACAGTTAGCATACTTCTGTGCAGCTCCCAAGATCAATTCAGCTGCGTACGGGGCTCGGTCCATAGTTTGATGGTGGCCTCATGGTATGGATCGTAGTACGGCTTCTTCATCTGGACCTGCGAGTTGTCAGTCGCAATGAATCCCTACACCACAAGCAGAAGCTCACCGATTCAAACCATTCCCGATCCTTTGCCCAGATCTCCAGAAACCGGAATCGGCCAGGCGAATCCTGACTGTGAAAGACCTCGAATGACAAACACTCCGGCTCCTCGACACAGCGGTCATAACAAATGTGTAAGCCTTTGAGAAACTCGTCTATATCGGAAGGGTCGACTGTAATGGTCACAAGGAGGATCGTCTGTGATTTTTCGGGGGGCACCTTGGCGGAAAAGGCGGGCGTAGAGCTTAGGTCAATGGAAGCCATATTGATACTTATCGTCTAAGGGTGAAAAAGGATGATGCATCAAGGAAGGACGATACTTTGAGCACGAGTGCTCGTACATGTTCTTTTATCCTTCCTCTTTCAAAGTGACCTGGCACGTGGATACCGGCGACATTCGAGACCTTCTTCAATGACATCGGGATTGACCACAAGGGTGGTGCTTTTGCCGCTGAGAGGTAGTACTCCCGGCCAGAAGCCATATAATAATTGCTAAGCACGTCAAAAAACTAGACTGAAGACGGATCCTGCCCCGAACTTCTCCTTTAGACCGTCACCCAAAGGAGTAGACGAATTTCTCAAAGGGGTAAGTGAGTTACTCCATGGGGCAAATCATACACTCCAAAAGGAAAGGCGTTCCCCTCTTGTTGGACCATCCCCCAGAATGTCCAGTCGAGGGACAGCTACCATCGAGGACACTGTTCACCTTAATAGACGTCTGCTAATTCTTTGAATCACGATGAATGAGAGGTGCTGCTTCTACTTTGCCCGAACTTGGTCCTTCAGATTACCGCAATGCACTGACAAACCCACCACTTAGTTGGACCCCGCACAGACCTCAATCGATCGCAATCCCATCAACATGATACCTATCTCACTCGAAGGGCAAGTCGGTATTGTCACTGGCGCTGGTTCTGCATTTGGTATTGGTCGTTCACTTGTTCTGGGTGCCGTCGAAGCAGGTGCGACGGCTGTCTATGCGTGTGACCTCCATTTGAACTTCCACGACGCCCTCATCGGAGCGGCGAAGAAGATCAATCCAAAGTGCAAAGTCGAGACTCGGGTGCTCGATGTTTCCAGCGAACAGGCGACGCTTGAAGTGCTGAGAGAGATCTTGACAAACCATGGACGCCTCGACTTTTTCTTTGCCAATGCAGGCTACGCGAAATACCGGTAGGCTCTGTAGCAAGCCGCTGCGCTACCTTGTTGGCCCGCTCCCAAAAGAACACCACCTTCTTACTAACCGACCACAGAAGCTTGGGCGACCTGACCACAGCTCAATTTCAGAGGGCGTTCGCAGTCATGCAGATGGGCGTCTTCTTGGCGATCAAGTACGGGGCCCAAGCGATGAGCTTCACTTCCTCAACCAAACCGGAATCTAAGGGCGCCATCGTCGTGACGTCTTCAATAGGAGCAATCTCGGGCGCCGTCACCGACATAGCATACTCTTCAGTCAAGGCGGCTTGCCACGGCATGATCGCGAATGCCTCGGTGCAATTGTCCACCAGCAATATCCGCATCAACTGCATCGCCCCAGGATTCACTCAAACCAGCATCCACAGCAACGGCGCCAGAGCCGAAGATGGTGCGGAGGGCTTCGCCGGACACCACATCGACAACCCGACTCAGGTCAAACAGGACGAAGACGCCTTCTTCAAATCGAGTGGTATGACGGGCGAAAACGCCATGTATTACTACAACCGAATAGCGCTGCCGGAGGAGGTAGCCAACCTTGGCTTGTTCCTTGCTTCAGATCTTGCTGCCGCAGTGAATGGCACTGTGATCGTTGTCGATAGTGGGAAACTGGCGGCAGGACAAGGCGCTGGTCTTTTCGGACCGACGCCCCCCGTACAATCTTTGGACCTTCGAGATTAGTATCCATCCTTTGAATCAAAAATGCAAGTGGTTTTGAGAATAATTTCCCAGCCACTGGATATAAGTAGACTACCTGTTATCTATGGTCGCTTTCTTGCTGTGTTAGCACAACAAGCTTGCATGACTGCTGTTCCCGGATCTAGGAGAAATCAGTCTCCATCGCCTCGATACGGCAAGTTTCATAAGGAGACCAACCCAATTCTTCCAAGGGGCGCGAAAAGTTTTAAAACTATTGGTTGTTTATGAGACGTGTGTATAGTTATTTTGTTGCTGGTACTAGAGCAATCACGTATCCGAGCTTTGTTCTTGTGGTGAAAGTCTTTATCTCGTCCTCGCATCACCGTTCTGCTGCAATTGCAATCTTCCTCTCACCGCACTTATTCTTTGCTAAGATCCGATCTTAATCCTGATGTTCGACCGTGATCGCCGTCTTCTCGTGAGCGGCGTCTTCGCTAAGCTCATTCATCCTTGCCACCACCGTCTCCCCAAAGACAGCGTTGATCTCTTCTAACGATAGCCCCTTCGTCTGCCAGATACGGTCAGCCTGTCGGGTTGTCAAGAGTTTGTATTCAGGAACTCACCTCCTTGCACCAGATAGCAATGACGGGGAGGAAGAAGAGGTTGAATCCAATGAATAGAGGTAAATACTTGTAGCCAACTTTGTCCAGCGCGATAGGAGTGACTTGGCCAAAAATAATGATCATCGAGTACGCCGAGAACATCCCTAGGGCCATGCCCTGAGCTCTAATCTTGGTTGGTAGGATTTCGGCCGCGTAGGCATAACCGGTAGAAACGTAGGTACAGGCGTAAAAGAAGATGAAGATCATGACCATTGCGATCCCGGCCTTGCCCCAAGCTGAGCGAAGTCAGAGACTGACTCCCCAGGTGAACGTTGGTCAGACTTACCGGTGTCCGCGGTTCTTTCAAACTGCGCCTGGCATGCAGTGAAGAGGGCCAGAATGACCGAGAGCATGACAAGGCCGGAGATGAACAAGACCCGCCTACCAAGCCAATCGATTGCGATCAGATTGACGGCACCGCCCAAATTCAGGAGAATCTGGAATATACAGGAGTAGAGCAGGACCTTGGCTGTATCGAAGCCCAGGCTCGCATATATGACCGACTGGCCTCACTATCAGCAAAATTGAGAGTTGAGCCGTAGAACCAAACACTCACTTGAAACACTTGAATCGTCTGCGCCCCAGTGGTTTGGCAGCTTGTCAAGGCAGCCACTGCCAGTCCAGCACGTTTGAGCTCCTTTTTGTTGGTAAACATATGCCAAAAGGTGACACCGGACGTCTCTTCCTTCTCGAAATCGAGCTGGGCCACCAGGACTGCATACTCTTTCTCCCAGAAAGTATGATCCTTATTATCGTCGTGAAGTCTCCTGAGTACGGTTTTGGCTTCTTCATAGCGACCATGCATGACCACTGTCTTGGTGTTAACGGATAGAGCGCACCCTTGCCGGGACTATACTTACGCCATCGTGGTGTGAACGGAATGAAGAAGCATCCGATAAACAATGCGAGCGCAGGCAGACATTGCAGTGCAATAGGCAGTCTCCTGGAACAGCTGTCAACCCTCGCACACGCATTGAAATGCTCAGGAACACCACTTACCACTGCAGATCCGCATTGTCCGAATGGTAAGTTCCATAGCCAGTAAAGGCAATGGCTAGGCCGGCAATGTTTATGGTACAAATTTGTAAGGTGATCATCCTGCCGCGCACATTCGGGGGCGAGATCTCCGACTGATAGATTTGTACCGTTGTGAGCATGACGCCTGAAGCCACTCCCGTGAGGACACGTGCAGCGGTGAAAAGGGCGATCTGCTGCGCAACAGACTGAAGCAAAGCCCCAACCAACCCAAGTGCAGCACCGAACTGTAGGGTTCTCTTGCGACTGAATCTGTCCGTCAAGGAAAAGACCCCGATGATACCTAGAAGTGTACCACCATAGAAACTGGTGGCGATTGCGCTATTGATGTCTCAGCTGGATCACACGACAATAGTTATGGTAAATACTTGACTCACCCCAGCAATGTCGCCGAAGGACGAAATTTGTTGAGAAAGCCAGGCTGTGCAAACCTGTGATTCACATGAACGATCGTTGACTTGACCTCAGAAGGGCATACTTACGTGCCGGCAATGACAACGTTGTCGATTCCGTACAACATACTCCCGAACCCCGCCACGATGGCGCAAAACCAGTTGTACCTTTTACCCATGTCTATGATGGCAGAGTAGCCCAAGTGACTCGAAGTTGTTCGATAAGAGATCTCTAATGTCGAGGAAGAACGTATGCTTCTTATATGTGAAGAACATCATTCCCTCAATATTTGACACATCTCGCGCCCAGACATGAAAACCTGCAGCGACGAATGCCCCATAACATGAGCAGCGGGGCCCCGTAGCAAGGACTCACTGCGCGCAAATCTAGACCATTGTCAAGTGGCAGAAGTCTGTATTGGGACCCGCCCGATTTAACTCCATGGGGCACTCGAGATACTCCTTGGGGTTTGGCGAAACCTTGGAGGCACATTGTGATTCTGGCCACGATTTCCCCCGCGATGGGCCATCGATGCCTAATAATGCCTTCTTTAGAGACAAGTACAAGGTGGCCAGTAATTCGCCGTTTCATAAATGCCCCGAAGCCGGAACCGAGCAAAGCGAAGCAGGTGGTTGACATCCCTTGACGCATAAGGTGCGCAAACTCACAAGGCATCGACGGCAACTGCGCATTTGACAGGCTTGAGAGAGGCATGAAGATAACTCTTTCGGTATGGATGGTGTTTGAGGACCAGATAAACCTCTGCATTGATAGTACCGAGCCCTGGCTACGCCTTTGGCACTGAAATCCCTCGCAGACAATCGCGTTCCGTTCAATCAAGGTTGGTGACTTGACGCATAAAGTGGCCTCAGTCTGGCGAAATCACACTTGAGTGTACTTGTCAAGGCCCGAATTCTACCAAAAGAATTTCGGCCACGTCTACGAACTCCACCACGTCCTTCACCATTACGGCAAGGCTCATTTCTGAACCGCGTTGGCTACGACCTTGCTCAGGACGGTGATCCTTTGTGGTGTGCCCAAATTCCATGGAGAAGGCAAGCTCCTAGCAAAAAGCTCTGGATGATGCAGACGCTAGAGAGGAGTGTATAAATAACGCAAAAGACCAGCGAGATATCACAGCAAGCTCGATGGCTGAGCAAAAAGGTCTCACAATCGAAATTGGAGTAAAAAAGGTACTATCAGTCTCAAGCAGTTCGGGACAGATATTAAGCCGTCGCCAAGGTCGAGTTCGCTCTTGTCGCAGAGAAGTCCTGCCTCTCATTTGCGTGATTCTGCCACTTCCGGTGTGACAGTATGACAGTGTGCTGGGCGTACTGGAAA